ACAAAAGGTAGGTAAGCTGGGCTTCACTGAAATTAAAAACTTGTGTTCTATAAATGATATAGCCAAGAAACTTAATAGACAACCTGTAGAATGGAAAGAAATGTTTGCAAATCACATATGTGATAAGGGACTTGTAGCTAAGATTATAAATTCTTACAAGGGGGCAACAAAAAGTTAAATAAACCAATTTAAAAATGAACAAAGGATCTAAACAGACATTTCTCCAAAGAGAGTATACAAATGGGCAGTGAGCACTGAAAAGATTCTCATCACGAGCAGTCAAGGAACTGCAAACCAAAACCACAATGAGGTTGTCACTTCACCCTCTCTAGGATGGCTCTAATAAATATGACAGACAATAGTAACAGTGTTGACAAGGAGGTGGAGAAGTCGGATCTCTCATTCCCTGCTGGTGGGAATGTAAATGGTGCAGTGGCTTTGGAAAACAGTCCCTGAAAATGCAACATATAGAGTGACCATGTGACCCAGCAATTCCACTCCTAGGTACGCACACAAGCGAAATGAAAACATACATCCGTGCAAAGACCTGCATACAAACATTCATAGCAGAATTATCCACAACAGCCAGGAAGTAGAAACAACCTAAATGTCCATCAACGAATGAATGGATGAATAAAATATGGTGTATTTACAAAATGAAATCTTATTTGGCACCAAAAAGGAATGAAGGCTTGATACATACTGTCACATGAATGAAAGAAATCATTACATGACCATGGTTGCATGACTCCAATTATGTGAACTGTCCAGAATAGGCAAACCTATAGATTCAGAAAGCAGATTAGTGGTTTCCCAGGACTGGAGGAGTGGGGCAAAAATAGCAAGTGACTGCTAATGGGCATGAGGTTTCCTTTTGGGGTGACAAGAATATGTTCTAAAATTATATTGTGGCGATGGTTGCATAGCTCTGTGACTATACTGAAAATCACTGGACTCTGTATCTTAAATAGATAAACTATATGGTGTGTAAGTTATATTTCAGTAAGGCCCTAAAAAAAGTAAGGAGTGGGCAACAACAACAATAAAAGGTTTGTTACAATTAAGGAAGTGTGATAGTGAGTAATATGACAATCCAATGGGGTTAAGACACAAAAGGATCAGGAGTTATGTAACCCCAGGGCCGAGTAGACAGTAGGGGCAAAGGGTGTGAGGTTGACAAAAAAAGTGAAATATCGGAGGAGATAAAGGTAATGCTGGTCTGATGGGAGGAGAATGAAGGAAGGAGGAGCAACACAAGGTATGGTTAGATAGGTGGGCAGGGGTCAGATGATGCAGGCCATGTTCATGACTGTAGACTTTTCCTAAACAGCAATAGCAATCGGAAGACATTGAAGTGTTTCAACCTGGAGAGTGCAATGATCGGATGCACGTTTTATTTTTATTTAGTACTATTATATTTTTAGTTTTAAAAAGAGAAGGAGAACCAGCAGAAGAACCAGAGAGAGAGAGAGAGAAAACCCTAAGCAGGGTCCATGCGCAGCATGAAGCCCAGTGTGGGACTCAATCCCACAACCCTGGGATCATGACCTGAGCCAAAATCAAGAGTCAGACTTAACTGACTGAGCCACCCAAATGCCCATGGATGTGCATTTTAAAAAGTGGGCCTAGACTGCAGGAAATTGACTTGAGGGGAGTAGGTGGGTATAGGAAAATCAGAGGGAGCCGAGGCAAAAGTCAGGGCGAGAGATGATGTCTGAAAAATCCAAATGGAATAGTTTGAGGGGAAAGTGGGAGGTGAGGATGTGGAGACATCTTGTATGAAGTTTGGTTGTAAAGGGAGGAGAGAAATGGAGTTGTAGCTGGAAGGTAATATGAGATGGAGAAAGTTTAAAAGATAAGCATGTTTCAGTGGGAATTGGAAGACTCCAGAAGAGAGAGTTAGTATTCAGAATATGGAGGAGAGAATTCATTCAATCAGGCCCTTGTGAAGGGGGAAGTTAATGAGATCTGGAACATCCTCAGAGGCATATGCCCTCTAGCATAACAGGAGGAAAGTGGGTGATGGTGACAGATGAAAGTGAGTTTGTGGATTTGGAGGCAGAACTTCTTCATCCTCCTACCTCCAATCCTGCACAGCAACCCAGGAGCCAAGAGTGAGTAGATATACTTTAAGAATATGACATCAGAGGGCAGCGATTAATGAGGAAAAGGGAACACTCTCAGGGATGATGATAAGTGTTAATGAAAGAGATTGAAACACACATAACCATGTATCTTATACTTCCTTCTTACATAATGTTCAGAACAGGAAATGTAGAAAAAAGTTGAGAGAGAATTGGGATCCTGTACAGGAGAAAGGATAATGAGAACTGTCCAGTTATTCCAAAAGTTCAAGCGTTAGGTCCTGCATGCTGAATTAGCTTAAAGACAATTGAAGAATCATTCCTGACGTTAGAAATCATGCAGATTGGAATAGGAATCAGGCAGATTGGGAATGGGAAATATTCAAATGTCCTATTTTTAAAAAGGAATGAAAGGGGAAGTCAAGAAAATGCAGGTGAATCTAATTAACTTTGATCTCTGCAATGTTTGTTAACTTGTACTCATTAAGCAGCACCAAGAGTTCATCAGGAAATATTTATGCTAAAATATTAAATATTATTTTTTTATGGAGACAGGATCTGCCTCTTGACTTTAAGGTGCACAATTGGGGGATTAAACAAAAGCTATTTACAAAAATAATAGGGACCCCAAAGGTGCTGATCACAAGACCTCTACATAGCAGAATTGTGTATTTCAAAGGGACACTGGCATTTAGAAAATGGTCACCAATAGCTATCAGATGAGAATCAACAGGGATGAGTAAGGAGAGACCTCAGTGAGGCAGCAGAGCTATCTTCAAGTATGAGAAGGTCTTGCGTGTTCAGTCTTTTTTCTATGGTGGTCCAGAATAGAACTTGAAGCATGGGTGGAAAGTTCCAGAGAAGTAGTCTGTTGCCCCTCAATAAAGAATACCTAAAACCTGGGGCTGTCCAATGATGGGGAGCACAAAATGTTGAGCACCCCAGTCCTGGAAGATTCTAGCAAGCTGTTGGGGCTACAGTAGGGTGGGGTGTGGACTATGTGACTCTAGGGCCTGTTCCTTGAAAATAAACATGTAGAAGAAATGTGACATGGGCATTAATTTTTTAGCACACTCATGCTAGAAATATAGATGCTGATGCCTACAGATATCTGAATAGCTGCATAGCGAGGCAGTGGTAGATCTCAGGCTGAACCCAACTCTCGACTCCCCAAGTCTGATCATTTCTATTGCTTCACACATTAGCCTTTCCTGTGATGAGTGATTGCCATTCCTCTTTGGAATTTCAATGAAGAATTCCAGAATGAAACTGGACTACTATTATACACCACATACAAAAGTCAACTAAAAATGGATTAAAGACTTGAATATAAGACCCGAAACCACAAAACTCCTGAAAGAAAACATCAGGGGTGAACTCCTTGACATGGATCTTGGCAATGGCTTTTTGGATTTGACACCAAAAGCAAAATCAACAAAAGCAAAAATAATCAGGTAGCACTACAGCATACCAGAAAGCTTCTGCACAGGCAAAGAAAACCATCAACAAAATTAAAAGGAACCCTGCCAAATGGGAGACAATATTTGCAAATCATATATCCAATAAGGGGTTAATATCCAAAATATACAAAAAACTCATACAACTCAACAGACAAAAAAACAATAATCAAATTAAAGGTGAGCAGAGAAGATCTGAATAGACATTACTCCAAAGAAGACATAAAAATGGCTAACAGGTACTTGAACAGGTGTGGAACATCATTAGTCATCAGGGAAGTGCAAATCCAAACCACAACGAGAGATCACCTCACACCTGTTAGAATGGCTGTTACAGAAAAGACAAGAGCTAACATGTGTTTGTAAGGATGTGGAGAAAATGAAACCCATGTGCACTGTTGGTGGGAATGTAAATTGGTGCAGCTACTGTGGAAAACAGTATGGAGTTTTCCCCCCAAAATTTACAACAGAACTATCATATCATCCAGCAACTGCTTTGGGGTATTTATCTGAACAAAAACACTAACTCAAAAAGATATTTGCACCCCATGTTCACTGCAGCATTATTTTTAACAGCCAAGACATGGAAACAACCTAAGTGTCCCAACAATAGATGGATGGATAAAGAAAAGGTGTTTTATATACAAAGGAATATTCGTCATGGAAAAGAAGGAAATCCTGCCGTCTGTGACAACATGGATGGACCTTGAGGGCATTATGCTAAGTGAAATAAGTCAGAGAAAGACAAATATTGTATGATCTTACTTATATGTGGAATCTAGAAACAAAACTCATAGGTACAGCGATTGATGGTTGCCAGAAGTGAGGGTGGGGGTGGGGGGCAAAATGGATGAAGGTGATCCAAAGGTACAAAGTTCCAGTTATAAGACAAAGAAGCCCTGGGGATGTAATATACAGCATGTGACTACAGTTAACAACACTGTATTGCATGTGTATTTGAAAGTTGCTAACAGCATAAATTGTAAAAGTTTTCCTCACAAGGAAAAAGAGTTGTAACTATGTGTAGCGATGGATGTTAATTAAACCTATTGTGGTAATCACTTCATAATATATACATATATGGAATCATTATATTGCACACCTAAAACTAATACATTGTTAAATGTCAATTATATTTCAATAAAAAATAAATTAACAAATAAGAATTCTAAATCCCTCACTCATGACTCTCAGGCCACATGCTTTCATGAATGTCCACTGCCCGTTCCACACATGGCTTGAGTGAAACCTGCAGCATTAGCCTTGAAATTCAGGGGCGCTGTGCAGTTGAGCCCGGACCCACACAAATAAGGGCTCTGTAATCTCTGGGGAGGTTGTTCCCAGGAAGAGAGTCTTGGGTACAGTTCCTGCAGGAAAAGAGGAACTGTGCTCCTAGAAGGAAATGATTCTAAAGCTGCCACGTCTTACCTGGACTCTGGGGTCTGCTTTACTTCTTGCTTCAATTGTACATGACCAGGTTCATCCACTGAGAAATAAGCATCATTGTTATGACATACCTTTACATTTGTCAGCTTAATACAGAGCAGGGCAAATGGTACCCTTCCCTCTTGAAAGATCTCAGTCTAGTCTCATCAAACTTTTCCAGCTAATTTGAACCCCTTAAGAGACCTCAACCTGCCCATAACAGCATATATTTTGCTACTCTCTGAGTAGCTAAGCAGTGAGAGGGATAACGGAGGTTGGCCAGCTGGCTGGGCCAGGAGGCTCTTTCTAAAGCTCAATGGGAGTGAGTTTAATGTACAGTGAGCTCAGCAGGTGTTCTTAAGTTCCCTCTTGGATTTATGACTCCCACATAATCCTCTGCTTTATTAAGCTATTGGGAAAAAAATAAAATCTGTCTGCCAAGATCCTAAAGCAGCCTTGGCAGCCAGTAATATATAAAGGCAGTAATTGGAGGTGGGGGGTGGGGGGGTGGCAGCTTGGCTGGCCTTGGACAGACTATCCAATATCCTCAGGGAGAAAAATGCCCCCTAGAATCAGGAAAGGGGGGGGTGGCCTGGGGCTGTGCCCTGTGTCTGGGAGGGGAATGTACCTCACCTCCATTTTTGTCAGGTAGAGTCCTTTTCCATCATTGGAGAGGTTCTGGAAAGTCTCTAGAGAGGAGGAGAGGAATCAAGACAGGCCAAGGGAGAGAAAAGCAAATATGGTGATTCCGCATACTCTTTCACTCTCCACAGTATGCCTGGCCTCCCTCCTGGTCTCTTCCCAGCAAACCTCACTCTGTGGGACAGCCCAGGGCTCATCTCTTCAGAAAAGCTCTCTGTCACTGCTTTGGCCCACATGCACCTCTCCCTCTTCTAGTACCCTTGCACTTTGCACTCTTCTACACAGGCCAAGGGGATGTGTGGGTCCGTCTTATAAAGTACTCCACATGCAAAGTTTGGGGAATCTCCCTTGTCCAACTGAGAATTCTCTGGAGGCTTATGCCTCAGCCTTCTCTTCTGTACTCCCAGAGCTCTGTTCCCTCAGTCTTTATTAACCACCTAGCTCAGAGATGGGGGGTTTACAGAGGTGCTCATGCCAGGGATGGTGAGGATTAGAATGAGGCCAGGCCCCATTTCTACCCCAACCACAAGTCTCGAGCTATAGTATGGCTTGGGATTTCACATAGGATTTCATTATAAAAAAGGAGTATGTTGGGGCGCCTGGGTGGCGCAGTCGGTTAAGCGTCCGACTTCAGCCAGGTCACGATCTCGCGGTCCGTGAGTTCGAGCCCCGCGTCGGGCTCTGGGCTGATGGCTCAGAGCCTGGAGCCTGTTTCCGATTCTGTGTCTCCCTCTCTCTCTGCCCCTCCCCCGTTCATGCTCTGTCTCTCTCTGTCCCAAAAATGAATAAACGTTGAAAAAAAAATTTAATAAAAAAAGGAGTATGTTGCTAAAGTGTCCAAATGTTTGACCCACATAGTCGAATTTCTAGAGCCTTGGGAATGCCTTCCTGCCCCCACTTATCCACTTGTGTGTGAATTCCTTCAGCAGAGACCCCATTCATCACAAGACTACAGAGTAGGTTTAAACCGCAAACACCACAGAGAAGAGACACAGTGATTAAATGAACTTCCCGAAAGAGGCACTAAATAGGGTGATGAAGAAATGAGAGACCTAAGACAGAGGAATGTACTGGACAGAACGGGTAAGGATGCAGGGTACCCAAGCTGATTACACCGTTCCACAGGCTAATGTTGTTTCTGCCTCTGGGAGCAAGGGCTCCTCACGCAAGATGCCAACCACCCCACTACGGAGGCCTTTCCTGGGCCTGGAGCAGGAGGGCATTCCTGGTCCTCTCCTGTGTTTTTTTGGTCATTGTGAAGGTCTCCAGATGTCCCCCAGGTGATACTTACTTGCCATGGCTTCCAGTCGTAACAGGAAGCAGACCAGGCTGGGGAAGCTGACCCTGCCACTGTGATCACTGTACCGGAGGGTCATGAGATCCAGAAGCTCGTTGCTGACGGAGGTCCCTGCAAGGAAGTCTGGGCCATGGGGTGGGGTTAGTGAGCGGGAGGAGGCTGGAGCAGGTCTGGTCTTCTGACGTGTGAAGTCTGAAAAACCTGCTCAGAATGGTGGCCTTCTACCACTGTTTCCTACTCAGCCTGGCTCAGGGGTCAGTTCACTCCACTTTGTACTTTTAAAAAAAAAATGTTTATTTATTTTTGAGAGTGAGAGACAAAGCATGAGTGGGGAGAAGCAGAGAGAGAGAGGGAGACACAGTATTTGAAGCAGGTTCTAGGCTCCGAGTTGTCAGCACAGAGCCCAACGTTGGGCTTGAACTCATGAACCATGAGATCATGACCTGAGCCAAAGTCAGACACTCAACCGACTGAGCCACCCAGGGGCCCCATTCCACTTTGTATTTTTATGGTTCTATGGTTGCTTCCTTCTTGTTGGTTGCCGGGCCCCAATGACATTGTTCTGGAGTTTGGCCAGTTACCAACTCAAGATACTCAAGACACTGACTGCGCTGGGGACAATCATCTGCTAATTCCCATGTGAAATGGGAGCTTCCAGGACACCCAGAGTTTGCTCCCAGCCCTGCCTCTGTCAGGCCTCTCTCTGTTGGTGACTTTATAAAACAACCTTGTTCCCCAACTCCATGACTGTGTGTGGGTCTTACAGGTGGGTGCTGCTAGTGTGAGCAAATGTGGTTCCTGGAAGTGAGAGGTTTAGTCCTAAGTTGGATGACCAGGAAAGAGGCTGGTCCTCAGAGGGGAGACCACAGTCAGAAGGTGGCCATAGGCGGGCAAGGTAGAGGTGCCTTGCTGTCCTGCATGTCTGGTTATGAGCTCCAGGAGGCACCAACCACCTAGAAGACAAGAGCAGACTAGCAAATGGCCACGCCTGCAAGCTTTGGTGGGCCAGCAGAACCTCGCAAGCCAAACCATCCATCAAGGGGATGAGCCTGGTGGCCTGTGGGTCCCATGCACCAGAGACATTTGGTTTCTCTAGCAGAATTAATAAAATGTGAATTTGAATGCCTTTAGATAGGCTATGTACTCTCCAACTTGCCACATTCAAAATCACCCTCTTTTCTTATGGTTAGCTCCAGTGCCCTTTTCAGTTATCTGCTTGGTCCTTGAAGATTTTTAATTAGATTCCAACTATTCTCTATCTTTCTCCCTTTTATTATTCTGGAGTCATTAGTGTGGTCTCCTATGGGATTTCATTTTTCTGTAGCTATTCGAGGGTTCTCGAAGCATAGCCCCCAGATCAAGAGCATCAGCCTCACCTAGGAACCTTCCAGAAAGACAAATTCTTCAGCCCCACCCAAGCTCTCCTGAATCAGAAACTTTGGGTGAGGGATAAGGCTCATCAATCCGTGCTTTAACAAGCTTCCAAAGAGTTCCAGGTTTGAGAACCGCTGCTGTCTACTATGAAGAATTAAGAGAAGGACAGATGCTAAGGCATAAAGATGCTTCCTCCTGCTCTCCAGCCTGGGAGTCACCGGAGGAAGAACCACAGAGTCCCTCTTTCCCTGGCATTTACCTGGGGGAATCTGATCTTACGTTTTCCCAAGGAAGGTGGCAGTTTCTGGACTTAACCTTTTTGTGATCCATTTCCTCCACCGGTACAAGGCAGATAATGACTCCTGATCACAAAGTAGTTGGGACAATTAAATGTGATGACGTGAGTGCAGGTTCTCCCTGAACTCTGAAGCTCTTAGGCACCTACAGTATGCTTATCATCATCCGAGGGCTCAAAGCGCTTGCACTCTTGAAGCAGACAGGTGTTGTTTGATTTCATTTTGCTCCAAACCTTCTGTGAGGACAGTACATCCACCTGCTCATGGGTGTTTAGCCCTGACAGCTAGATGTTGACATGGAAGTGTCTCTAAGGCAACCTTGAGTTTTGGTAGGGTATCAATCACGCGGGGTTATTTTCCTACAGTAAGAGTTGTTCTGGGATACAAGGCAGTTGGGAAAGTTGACTGGCACATGGGAACTCAAGTTGGGGAGGATGGAGACTGAGTCCTGAGCCTGGAGGCCCACAGATGCCGGTGTAAACCAGGACAGAGAACCTGCTGCTCTGTTTTCTCCTGACTGTTGGCACTGGTCTTGCCTACAAGCAGGCTAAGGGTGTGCACGCCTCTCTCTCTCTCTCTCTCTCCTTCCCTCCACCCACACACACATGCACACACACCCCACCATCACTGCTACCCCAATCATGACACCCCCAAGGGGCCCCTGCTTTACCTGCATCCTTTATAGCCTTCCACAAATTCACACTCAGGAAAACTCCGGAACGTTTCTGGATGTTCTGGAAAACATTCTGATTTGGGAAAAGAAGCAAGAAGTCCATGTCAGTGCCCTTGCCCACCTTAAAGAGGATGTCCTGGGCAGAGAGAGTTCTCAGAAATCCCTTTTGCATCCCTGGAGGCATAAACCTTGAGTGGATCCAGCTCAGAGGCAGCTCAGCCGAGGATGGGGGGAGAGGCAGGAATGGGCTCCACCCGGTGAAGCCGATCACGCTGGCCACCAGCTGCAGGGCCATGGGTTCCTCTCCCAGGCCTGCGCCTTCCTCTCTTCTGACCTCCTGTCTTTCCTTCCTCACGTCCTAGACTGGGCTCCTGACACGTGGCAGCTTGCTGCACTCCGGAGGTGCAGAGTTCACTAAAGACTTTGCATAGGGTGGTGGTGAAGATTTGGCAACTGAACCACTGGGTTTAAATCCTGGCTTGACTATTTACCAGCTGTGTAACCTTGGGCAAGTTAATCTTTCCAGGCCTCAGTTTACGCCCCCCCCCCCCCCCCCCCCCCCCGCAGCACCGTGTGAATTACATCACCTGCCTCATGGGGACTGTAGCTCAGGGTCAGTGAACAAATCTGTACGGAGCACTTAGGAGAGCGCCTTGCACAGCAGTGAGCGCTGTGTGGCGGGCAGGCGAGGACTGTAACTTGGGTCCTAGCGCAGCTGCAGGAGGTAGTGACTCTAAGCCTTCATCTCTGTGCAGGGCAGCTCTCCATGCACCCGGGACTTTGCTGCCTCTCCCTAACTCTCCCCGGAGCCCCGATCAGCATCGCACTTCCCAGGTGAGGAAACAGGCACCTGGGCAGGTGACTTCCAGGGAGTAAACACGCAAGCGCCACGCGACTGAACTTGGGCTCCTGGTCTGGGACCTGTGCTCAGCCGCCCACAGGAGCTGTTCTGAGGCAAAATACCCCCAGCCTGTGTGTGAGTGACCAAGGCCAACTGGGGCAACAATCGCTGTGAAATAGCAGCCCGAGAACATTTTCGGGCCTTCTTTGACTTTTGGTGAATATAGAGCAACTCTCAAATGGGATTCGCTTGCTCATTTGGTCATGAGTTCGGTCACTGGTTCAGCAGTTTTGAGTGCCTGCTGTGTACTAGACACTAAGAAAGGCATTGGAGGAAGCCGATGACTATGAAGGGGCCCCTGCCCTATGATCTAATGGGGGGACACATCAGCCATTCCAGTGTCCTCAGAAAAGCCAAATGACTCCAAGCCAGGGATTAGGCGACACATCCTGGTATAGCCACATGAGAATGCTTCATCGTATTATTGTAGATTCGGGTGTTAGGAGCTGAGGGGGAAGCACCCGGGCCTGGAGGAGGCAGGCAAGGCCTCAGGGGAAGCGACTCTTGCGGCTGGACAATCAGTGTGGTAGATACTGGCCAGGCTCTACATCACACACCTGGGGTCTGAAAAGAGCGAGTGGGATGAGTACAAGGGCTTCTCCTGGAACCCAAAGTAGGGTCTCAGCTAAAGGGGCTTGCATACAGCTCTGATGAGTTCAGACCTCATCCTGAGAACAACGGTGAGGCCACAGGCCACATCTGTGATGTCGTCATATCTGGCACGTGGATGGGAGGGGAATGAGATGAACTAGTGCACCGGGGGAGTGTCTCAGGGGCCCGGGGAGGACTGAGGAGGGAAAAGTGAGCTGGTGGCTTTACTATAGTCCATGGTGACCCTTCTCTTCTCCAACCTCCTAGAACATTCCTCACCCTGCCACTTGCTCGAGCATTGCCTTCTAGTAGTGCGGTATGTCTTCCTGAAATGTGACCCTTCTTGAGGGCAGGCCTGGTGAGTTCCTCCTCTTTCATGCTCCTCAACCCTGTGGGGGTCAGACACCCAGCAGATATTTGTTAAACTGGACAAAAAGAGAACATTGCCGGTACCTGGCACTGGACGAGACGGCTCCACAGCCTTGAAAACTCCTCTTGCTCAAGCCTCCCATTCGCTTTGAGCTGGTGGGGAGTTAAGAGTTAACCATGCAGCATGCAGGGAGCAGAGGCCCTGCCGACAGAGCCGGGAGCCGTTCTATCCATCAACCAGTCCAGTGTCACCTGGACATGGCCCCACAGCAGCCGGCTCCCACTGTGTCTGAAAGGGACCTGGCTTAGCTTTAATTTACAAAGGAAAATGGACAATCAGAGGGAGAAAGAAGCCCTGAGGAAAGGAGGTCAATATCACTTGCATCCAGGGGAAGAGAAAGCCCTGAACACAGCCTGTACCGGGAGGGGTGGGGCCCCTGGCAGGGGGGAGTGGGAAGGAGCACGAGGGGTCATTGCAACGCCTGCAGCAGCACGAAAGGCAAGTGCGCATAGACACAAATGGCATTAGAGCCAGGCCCGGTCACCCCATAAGATGGGTTTAATGAGAGCTAATGTGAGGAAAAGAATCCAACTCTGAGTTGCTGCAGGGGAGCGGGGCGTGGTGGGAGGAAGGGCAGAACAGACCTGTCTGTTTTGCAGGGGTTTGGCAGACCCAACCTCCCCCAGGACCACTGGCCCCAGGCTGTGGGGTGCCGTGGGCCACTTTCATTAATCAGTGAGGGTTTGGGCAGTGTCTCCCAGTGATTCCAAACCACAGCCAGCAGAGACAGGGCCTGATTTATGACTTCATCAAGAGGCCCTCTTGTTCGACAATGGCCGGCCTCCCATTCCCACTCGGGCCTTGTTAACAGTGAAGAAGTGGGGGTCGGCCTCACTCCAGGGAGGCCGTGTACACAGAGGGATGAGCCTCAGAGCAGCAGCTGGGGGGCATGCCCATGGGGGGCTAGTCTCTCCTGCCTGGATGGGGCAGCAGGGGAGAAATAGCTCATCGGAGGGAGAAGTCAGGACAGGAGTCAGGAGACCTGGGTTTAATTCCCAGTCTGGCCACTGGTGTCCCTGGAACCCGGGCACGTCTCTGGAGAGCTCTAGCCCCAGCTTCCACAGCTTCAGCTGCAGTCTGGTAGCAATCAAGGGGTATGGCTGCTGTGTAGATCAAGGCATTTTCTCCAAGTTTCAGGGGTTGCTATCTTCACTTAATGGGGACTTGGTGAATAAGGAACTTAATGAAGACTTGACCAGTGGCAAGGGGAAGGGCGGAAGGAAAATAGCCCCCTTGGTGTTACAGGGAGGCAGTGTAGAATGATGTTAGGACACAGATTCCCGAGGCTGAAAACTCTTCAAACACAGGCACAAATTCTGACTGGCTGTGTGATTACTTAACAAATTACTTAGCCTCTTTGAATTCCTTCTCTTTACTTCTTATATCATGGGGGCTTTTTGCAAGAACCACAAGGAAAAGTCCATATACCAGTACTGTTCTTGGTGTGCCATAGACACTTGATAGATGGTAACTACTGTCATGGTTGCTATGCTTGTTCTGGAGAGTCAGTGCATTGGTATAGAATCCACAGAAGCCCAGACTCTCTGGTGAGCCCTTAGAACCAAAGAAGAGAAAACACTGAAAGTAAAAATGTTCCTAACATCCGAATTAGACCCCTGGGGAAGCCCGCAGAGCAGATGGGCTCTTAAAGTTGCAAGAGGAGCCAGGGTGTGGGGGGCTGCAAAGGATACATCCATCAGGGCCACGATGCTCTGGCACTCATCCAAAGAGAAGGTGTCCCCTGGAGTTCCTGGAGGGCAGAGAACAGGAAGGATGGAAACGTTGGGGGTGGGGAGTGACACCAGACTGGCTCAGCAGTGGGCATGAGGTTGGGGCCAGCAATCCTGTGGGTGTGACCTTACCTCTCAGGAGCTCTTGGTTGAGAAGGCTCTGAAGCTGGGTTGCATCAATGTCCAGCCCCTGATCCAAACAAGAGAGGAATATAGGAGTCCCATCCATGCTCAGGAGCTGAGGGGCATTACCTGCCTTATTCTGGAAAAGCACTCAGATTTCTAAGCCCTTGCTTCCCACCCAGTGCCCACCTACCTCTGCCATGAAGCCTTTCTCGATCGCTCCAGGCCATGGTGATACCCCTCCCGTGAACATCTGTAGTGCTCATCACTCCTAACGTTGGGTACCATGTGTGGGTCACCTTGCATTTATCTCTTCATTTATTATGGGGCCGGACAGCAGTGGTTCCTTCCTTTCTGCCTTACCTGGCACTTAGGAGCCCCTCAGGAGGAGTATTGTTGAATGAATCAACTCAGCCCTGAAGGTGTTTTCCCATCTGCCTCCAGGAAGGGATAGAGAGAAAATATGACTACCGAGTGTGTGAGCATAAGTGTGAATGTGAGTGTGTGTGTGTGTGGTAAGAAGAGATGAAAGTGCCAGAAATCTAGGCTAAGACAAGCCGCTCTAATTGAGCACATTACTTAGCATTAGTTTTCCTAGCTACTGAAGCAAAAAGGAAGACATGGTTTTCCTTGGATTAAAAATGGGAAGCAGTGGAGGCTGAGGGGAGAGAAACTTTTCCCAGCCGGAACTTCTGAAGTTGTTAACTGCATTCGATTTTCTCCTAGGGACATTGAGCAGCTTTATGGGCGGTGTCTTCCATGATGATTCTATAGAGAAGCAGAGCCGTGCTGTGCATGGCCATTTCTTACGCGTAGGCTGGTAAAAGCTGAGGGGGTGATGTCACATCACATCAGCACCCTGGGAAAGCTTTACATGGGGGAGGGAGCCGGAGTGAGGTCCCTCAGCTGGTGGCTTTGCAGAGTGGTAATGGGTCAGGTGGAGGAAAGTGTCTCATTGGGTTCTTCTGAGAACCAGCACCCCGTAGATGACAGGCATGCTGTCCCCAGGGATGGCCTCACCACTCAACTGAAAGCAAAAGCAGTCCCACGGCCTGTCCTCATGGGAGAATCCCTCATAATGCCCCCAAGAAAAACACCCTAACAGTGTTTGAAACTGGCTCTCAGTCATCCCTCCAACATCTCATTGACTGGGTTATGTCAGCAAAGTCAGCATTGTGTGCCCACTAGCAACAGAGTTCTTTCCTCAAAAGAATCATGGCATGCAACTTGCAGACCATTTGGTAAGGAACACTTACCGTTACATGGAATGTAAGTTATCAACTAGAATGTAAGCAGCTTTGGGACATGGACGATGTCTCCTTCCTACTGCACGTCCCTCTATCCTAGGACAGCTTGTGATTTGGACCCTGCACCCAAGAACCACCAAAATGTTTGAGGAGATGAGGAATAGAGATGAAGGCTGCCTTAAGCAAATTCCAAAACAATTGCACATTTTCCTCCACCACTTCGATGTAGGATTCCTGAGGAGCTGATGCCAAAACTTTGTGTGGTACTTAGAATGTCCTAGGTATTTTGTATATGTTTGCCAATTGAATAAATGGTGGATAGATGGACATGACCTAACTCAGAGGCTGAGAGGTCCTTACTTTCTGGCAGGCAGACTTGGGTTACAGTACCATCACCACTATCATGGCTGATGAAGGTAGATCATGGTAGTGGTAGCAGTGGTAGGAAGTCACTGTGTTCGCTTGAAACTAAACAGATAGAGATCAGGAGAGAGGACTCGGGGAGTGCATGGACAAACATCTTGCTTTCAACTTTCATTTGAGGCTACAGCCTCTGAGAATTGCTTATAGGCTGTGCAGAATGATGCCAGGCTAGCCCTGTTCAAGGGTGCCCAGCCAAGAGATGAAAAGGGGCTGCAGTCCAGTCTGTTTCACTTCCGAGCTATACACCTTGGCACAAAGCTGTGTGTGTCTTTTACTTTAATTCCTACAAAGGCCCCATATGGGCTACCAGTTATCCTCTATGAGGAGACATTTGGTTGTTATTTGGAAAAACCCTGATTAGGGAACCTGTACCATTTGTCATATGACAAATTATATTTTTTATTTCAGATGTGCAGGTACATGAACCATGTTGAGGATTTTGCCATCTGCCCCTGAAAGAAGCTTGGTCTCAGGTCTCCTAATTAGGTCCTGTTTGTTGCCTTGGGGCAATAACCTTAGTTTGGACATCTGCTCTGGAGAAGCTAATCTGTCTTAATTCAATGTAGATTGACAGAGCACCTTCTCTGTGCCAGGGACAGTGATAGGTATTGGGGACAAAGAATGCATATGGTGCCATCCCTTCCTCTGGGAGCTCACAGACTGGGGATTATCATCTGGGATGCAGGACTTTGTCCTGCATCAAGTGAAGTGCCTTCTAAATCAGCCAGATGTGGACCTGAATCCTGGGCTCATATTGATTTTAAGGAGTTCCATATTGAGCGGCTCCTCGTAACACTTTCCCCTCATGACAGCCACATTCTTCATTTCTCCTTGTTTTTCCCTCTGGGCCCAGGCTGCCTGAATAATTTCCCTCTCAGCAGCCTCCTAGTTACCCCATTAGCCCACTGAATGCCTGGCATCCTTCCTGTCCTTGGCCTCTGCCTGGCCCAAGGCCGACATGGGACACATGATCATATCTATCCATCACTTTGCACTTCCCAAACCAACATGACTATTAATGGCAAAAGGCCCATTGTGCAGAGCCCTTGGCAGATGTTTTTATCCTGGCAAGTCAAGGAGTTCTTTATAACGGTTTATTAAACCATTAAGAAAAACCTCTGTGCACCTAGGTGGCTTGGCAGGAAAAATATCATTGGTGCCTTCAATGAAGCTGGCTAGCTCCTGTGAGGAATAATGTCAAACTGGAGGGGGTGAAGATCAGGAGAAGGAAAGATTTCAGGGGGTATTGCCAATTACTTGTTTAAAGATTTAACCTCACCCCATAATTAGCCCCATCCTTACCAAGCTGTATACCGCTCCCAGATGTCTCCTAGTTCTGGTTTGGTAGCCCTATTAGTTCTGGAGATATCCAGGGAGACAGACTGATAAAATGACCAACTACATCACTTTTCTTCTCTGTATCCTGATAAGGGCCTGGGATAAGTTTCCTTTCCTCTAGTCCCACCATCACTCATCCCATGCTAAGGACTGTACCTGGTGAGCGTATTTGTGGAAGATGCTTCCTTGGGAGCCATTTTCCGGAAGACTTGCCTGGATCAAAGGGAAAATAGTCAACATCAAATTTCTGTGGAAGGAGACTACCTGTCTTGGACAGTGAAGGCACAAGAACCACTCCCCACACCTGGATCTGAGACAGAGGCTTTATCTAGCAATCGAATAAAATTTGTAGGGGAATGGAACACTGGAGTTTGTGGAAGAGGATTGGTTCCAGCCTGACACTGGAGGCTTGGTCTTTCCCCTCTGCTCTGCCCCTTTGAGCCATCATTGGCCCATGATGATGGTGTCTCTTCTCACTGGTCAGTGCTTTAAGGTAAGAAAGGAGACAGAAGTTCTTGGGCATGGGATGTCGTCAAGGAAGCTTGCCAATCAAACCTTTCCACATACCTACCTTTAGTGTTGTAAGGCTGAAATTGCTGCTCGGGTTCCTAGAAAACCAGGGAAACAGTGTGAAAGGATGAAAAACTCACGATTTAAAGGAGGCTTGAATATGGAGGACACCTTAGGTGGCACTGGACATTTATACCAAGGATCTGAGTGGAGAGACTTCAGCACAGCAGGTCGTGAAGTGGGCAGCCATGACAGTCAGCAGACAGATAAACATCATAACCACGTACCTAGTCTTTTGATTGGACATCGTCTGGTCTTCAAATTATTTAGCAAATGGTTCCTTTTCACAACCAAGTACACATGCACAGTGACCCCCATTGCCAAGATGGCAGATAAGCTTTGTCTTATGTTCCAACTCTGGTGGCACAGTGGCTATCTGGCATACGGGACCGAGGCCTCATCCAAGCTCAATTGTAAAGATGGCCATGATGAGAGCAATGTCTGCCTCAGGTCCAACAGGGGGTAAGATGCCCAGCAGGGATATGTATTTGCTGATCCCAGTCTTGACCACTGAGTTAGCAATGAAGACTCTCCATGATTGGGCTCTGTCTTTCAGGCCCATATTTCACTGTCTCCCTGATGTACCCCACCTTCTGGTCACATTTCAGACAACTGCCAGCCATGCCATGTACCACCTTCCTGTGCATATGGCTGACATCACTTCTATTTCAATAGGCTCTACGCTCACCCACTTCCCTGATTCTGGTCATGCTGTTTTCTTCAACCTGCACTACCTTTTCCTTTAAACATTAGATTATGTTTTCCATCAAGGGATAGCTCAAATGCCATTTTCTCTAAGAAGCCTTCCTCAATCCCTCTTGCCAGATGTGGGTCCCCTTACTCTGTCTTCCCATGTGACTCTGCACTCCCACTGAGCAATGGCCACATCCTGCTCAATAGTCTACTCATTGGTAGAGATTCTCTTGCCACCCTTTGTGGTGGGCTTCTTGCAAATGAGCCCCCCATGTCCCCTGATGCAGTACATGCTGCACAGGATGACACAATGTGTTCTTATAAATTTAAGTGAAATAAAACAGTTTGAAACCCAGAGTTCCTGTACCTGTCACCATCTGGCATTTTCAGGAAGATCCGGAGCAAAAACTCAACTTCTCTGTATGTGGCGATGACCACCACGTAGGTCCCAGGGATCAGACTGAAGTACTTTGTGAGGTTGCACTTGGTTTTAGAAACTATGCCCTTGACAGCGTTTCTGTATTGAGAAAAGAAGGTGGGTGGCAACCTCTTCCAGAAGGGCTGGAACTGGAGGAAACATGAAGATGATCAGAAAGCCCCTTGTGTGCATGCGCCCAGCCCCCAGGAGAGCCCGCCACCTTCCAGACCCCACATCATTCACCAAAACAGCATTACAGGCTCCAAAAAGAGTGACAGTGCTTACCTGGACTTTCAAAATGCCACAGAGTTCAGACCGTCATTTAATAGAAACACTGACACCACAACAAGTGTAAAAAAAAAGTACGGCACATGGTTTCACCTCATTAAATCCCACAGTAGCCTGGGTTTTGGGGTTTATGTCTCTGCTCATATAAAAAGACTTTCATGGAAACTAGTGAAGTTGTTCCAACACTGAATGACTTTTGGACCCCCAGAAGCCCCTTCCCTCCTGAACCTTCCCCAGGATGCTTTGGACTGTATATAGCACAGCAGAGTTGGACTCCTTTATTCCCTCCATTTCATCTTCCCAGCAGAGCCCTGGAATTTCTTCTCATTGGAGAATAATAGGTCCTGATCATTTTCCTTTTATTTCAATATTTTCTTAGAGATAAGACAATAAATATAATGCAGTTCCCATTACCAGATGTCACATACATATTACATAATAAAAACCCCTTACTAAATAAATTTTCCCCAATACAGTCGAGCATGGGGGTTCCATCTAAAATGGTTATGCAGCGTGAAATGATTATTTGTGAGCTCTGCCTTGGAGAAAAACAGGGAGAAAGGGAGAGTTTCTTTTCAGGGGGTGGAGACAGGGCTGAGCTAGGAGATGAGACGGGAGATAGGTCACTGTCCCGGGTGGGCAGAAAGGGCTGGGTGGAACCTTCACAGTGACTTTGCTGATACTAACAGTGATCCCAGTAGGTTTGGAACCTCATTTGCTTGAACCCTTGTGGCAAAAGCAATGATGAGAACCATTCTACTCCAAAAAGTCAGCACTGCCCTGTGGCTCTGGGTGTGTGTGTGCGTATGTGTTTGTGTGTGCGCACATCCATGAGTGTGCACAGAAATGTGTGTACCTCTTGCAGTCCAGAATTTCCCTGCTTCCCTGCTCGCCTCCCTCCACTGGGCTCTTGCAGCCTTTCCAGGCTCCCTATCTTTTAGAGCAGACTCGCTCAGTGGCAACAAGAAGCATGAGTAGGTGGCATGGTGGTCTAGTGCTCAGAGGACCAGCATCGAATTAACACAGGCCTAGTTGCACAAAGACCTGACCCTGTAGTTCCAGGGATGGGTCTTGTACCTTTTCCTGGGCCGAGTCCCCACTCCTTTCTCCAGCTCTGGGAATTAAAACACTGATCTGTTCCTTGTACCCGAGTGCCTCCCTTTGAAACCCTTCAAGAAGCTCCGCTTCCATGACCAGGGTGCCAAAACCAAAATCAGATCCTAAATTCAACTCTGTGGCTAGGCCACTGGTATCAGGGGCCTCCTTGCTGCCTGCTTTCTGCCTGGGCTTCTGAGTATCCCCTGCTTGAAGATGCCCTGTCCTGACCTCTCTCTACCTATTGGGGCACCCCTGGAAGGCCCAGAGGAGCTTCCCTGGACCCACCAGCATGCTACAGGGACTACCTGTTGGTTGTGACTTCATCTTGCTCCCTCCCTGCCATCCTTGGTCCCACACATGCCCTGGCAGCAACAGCCCCACAGAGCCCACATCCATTTAAGGAGTCTGAGTGCCTGTAACTCCATCTGTCCTTCTCCATCCTTACTCTTCACTCATCCTGCACCAATGCGGGGCCTGCTTAGGAGAGGGATCAAATTTGGTTGTAAGATAAGCTAGATATGCCCTGAAGGTGCATTTGCAGAGTGTGTATCCTGTTTGTGGTGGATCTAGGGGTGACGAAGAACATGAGGCTAAAGTCCCTCTAAGATGCCACTAGCTCTGCTTCTTAAGTGGGAAAGAAAGGGCTCCATCAGTGTTATCTATTGGAGGCCAAATGCTTGAGGATAGTTTTGTGGTTCCAGATCCTCTTAGATGTCAAACCAGAGAGCAACTCAAGGGGTCCAACCCCCAGAACAGGACAGCAAACACATGTCCTGCACTGTTGCCCTGTTCAGAGATTCTAAGCTTGCATCAGTCACAGGACATAACAAGAATAAATTTGCAGCCACGAAACAGCAAGAGATGTGCCAAAGTTATGGTGTTGGAAGAGGCATAATGCTTTACCGATGCACAGCAACAGAAGCAGGAGAAGGGGCTGAACCGTACCTGAGGGTCGACCTGTGGGGAAGAGAAAGAAAGGCAGGCTCAGGGACTTAAACCAAAACTCAGGATCAAGCAGATCCCAACAGCCCAGCTCCGGACCCTGCATTCCTTCTTCCTGGGCAGCCAGCCTGTTCCCTGCACCCCCCAGGGGACGGGACCATTACTAATCCCCTGTGCAGAGATGTGAAAGAAAACCTGACCCACTGTAGGTTGTAGGGGGGTCAAGGGGGAAGGCAACTCAGCTCAGCCAGGTGTGGTTACTCTTCACAGCAATGATGATAAAAGAGAAGGGAAGAGAGAGATGTTAACAGGGTTGGAGGTAAGACAGAACCTAGATCAGATGTCAGTTTCTCAACATCAGGTGTTCCAACGTGAAGAAACTTCTTTTATTTCATCATACCACTGAAAGATATGGTGGGAATTTGTTCTAGGCCCCCGGTGTTCGTAAGGAATGTCTGTGTGCATCTGAATTGGGAAATACCTAGTTTTAATCTTGAACTGAATATTGCACTGAGGACACAGCCCTATTTTTAAGCCACTCTGCCATCTGCAAGATGCTTCCGTGTAATGTGTTGGATTGTCACAGTGACCCTGAAAGCAGATACTGAGACCCTGTTTTATGGATGTGGAAATAGTTCCAGCAGTCTAAGTGGCAGAGAAGGGAATAAAGCAAGCTTCTTTGCTTCCTTGGTGATTAACACCCACCACCCGGCAGTGTCTTCTGCAGTTGGTGTGGGTTTCAGTTCTTTTCCTCTGCTAATCCTGCCTAACACCACCCACCCCAACACACACAACCATGTGTACAGACCACCTGATTTTCCCAGGCAGACTTTTCTGGAGCCCAAGAATGAGCTGGAAGCTCCCAGCCTGGGAGAGCAGCTTTGGGGTGAAGATGAAATGACTTGTCCACCCTTGTCCTTTTTCTCTGTCCTGTCTTCTGTTTGTATACCACCCATGTTTGTTCTGATGCAAGGCAGAGCAGTGCTTCCGTAGGAGTTGGGAGTCATGGGACCATGCCAGGGTGGGAGGGCCGTATACATTAGTCGTGCAAGCAGCACTGCCCGCAAACACCATCAGAGCCCTGCAGACTTCTGGAGGTCTACTTGCTGGCATGCACTCAGCCTGTTTCTCAGCCAAACTGTGAAAGGAACCCAAGTGTCTCTTGAGCTGCCAAAGACTAGATGGTTCTCTGGTGTTCAGCTCAATCAGGATCCTGCAAGATCCACTGGGACCTCCTGGGAGCCTGAAGAGACCTCAGGTTTGAGTTCCTTTTTAGCAAAGTGTACAGCTGAGAAATGCATCTCTGTATTTAATCTCAGTAGGTATTTATCTCAGTAGATAAATGGGCTCAGCAGTGTTTAAAAACAGATAGGATTATGATCTTTCCAGGGCTCCTGAACTGTAAAGACTTTGGGCAAACTGGTTAACACAAGGCTGCTATGATGTCCAGCTCTGGGGCACCAGACTCACAGGTGGCAATGTGAACAGCATCCCCAGTTGTGCACTGGGGCAGCCCTCTTTCCCTCTGTGGGCTTCTGTCTCTCATCAGAAGAGGGGTGCAGTCCTGTTTGGTGCCCTGAACTATTAAACTATTAAATCCTGGCTGAGTAGACCAGATGCCTCCATTCCTTCCCAGCCCCTTTCCTTTGTTCTTCCCAGAAATAAGAGTTGGGGGTACTCTGAGGATGAGAATCCTCTCAGAAGGCACCTGAATCATTTGGGATTCTTGGCTGGAAGCAAGAGATACCAATCAGCGTGGGGTGAGCAGAAAGCCATTTATGGGAAGTCTAGAGGATGCAGCTGAGAAAGTGGGTGGGAAAGAGGGGAGACGGCTATGCAGCTGGACACCAGCCCAGGATCTGCCTACACTGCTGCTGCCAGGCCCCAGGATTTGCTGTACATAATCCCTCAGCTGGTTCTACCACTTTTAATGACTTCCTCAAGAGTCCAAACCCAGAGTGACCAAAAGGGGGGGTGGGCAGGCATGAGAGGAGCATCTAATTGGACAAGTCTGGCTCACACACCTACCCCATTTGCAGCCAGGGGCTGGGGAGAGAGAGTATTTGGTCTCTTTGGTTGCCGCAGTGGGGAATTAGGCCCTGCCTTCTACCAAGTGGAAGAGAGCGTTCAGATGTCTGGTGGTGAGAAAGATGACAATTGTCCACTATTGCATCCTTAGATGTTCTTTTCCAGCCTCAACAGGTTTCAGGCACCTCAGAAGTACTGTGCCAAACCCCAACAATTTCTTTTCCATTGATTTCATGCAACTGGGAAGCAGAAATGGGCTCAGAACAGAACCCAAAGGGCTCTCCTCCTTCTAGAGCCAGAATCATTGTTTTCCTTCGAGCTGGGAGCATCACCAGGAAAGCAAGTGCCTCCGCCTTGTTGAGAGACCCAGACCGGGGACCAGGAGCTCTGGTATCAAGTACCTTCCCTTCTAGCCGGACCTTGGGAAGGTCACTCTTGCTCTTTCAGCTTTGGCTTTCATATCTATAGAAGTAGTGTTTGAAGCGATAAGTGTGAACACGCTGAAGTACATTACCACCGTGAAGTCTTCTCATTGGAGTGAACTACAGCCAGGACTCAGGACTGCTCCAGCATGAGCAGAGTACCCAGGAGCCCTGCCTGTCATACATGAGTTGACCCATGGTTCTGACTGTTGCCTTAGTCTCAGTGAACAGGAATGAAGATTATTCCTAGGGATGCTATAATCACAGCCCCAGCCACAGAGGCTTGGAGGACATCTGGTGCCCAATCCCCAGCTCTGCCATTAACTCTGACCATATCACTTCACCTTGCTGGGCCTCAGTTCCTTCAGCTCCACTATAAGGACAAGGGATCCTAGCATTTGATGGGTGCGGTACCATAGTTATCCAAGTCAGTCCATAGAGGGTGTGGAGCATATGATTTAAGAACCATACACTTTATCTTTGGGATGCGTTAATTTGGTGGGGTTCCCCGGGTGGTTCAGTCCGTTAAGCGACCGACTTCAGCTCAGGTCATGATCTCACAGTTTGTGCATTTGGGCCCTACCTCAGGGTGTGCGCTGACAGCTCAGAACCTGGAATCTGCTTCGGATTCTGTGTCTCCCTCTCTCTGCCCCTCCCCTGCTTGTGCTCTCCTTCTCAAAAATAAATAAACATTAAAAATTAAAATGATTTGGTAAAGGAGGTGGGAGCAGAGGTATCAGATTTTCTTTAGTAACACTTTTAAGTAGTCTCAAAAAAAAAAAAAAAAAAGAATTCTCCGATTAGCTCCTCCCAGTGGGATGGGTGCAGGCTGGTGGGTGGAAGGATGACCCCTCAGGAGCTGCAAAGCTGGTTGGGAGGGCCATGGGTGTGAGGAGGGGAGGCCAGGTAGAGAGAAAAACCTGGCTTTGGATGAATGGCCAAGCATATATTTGCAAGCCAACCACCAAGACTGGATTTTGGTCTAAATACAAGAGAAAAACATACCTCCTGGTTTTACATCCAGAATTTATTTTTTCCTTTAAACTCCTCCCAAAGTTTAGCCAATGATTCTCAAACTTTCATGCACGTAAGCAGCACCCAGGGAGCTCGTTACAATGCAGACGTTCAGACTCCAGCTATAGAAGTTCAGATTCAGAAGGTGTTGGATGGTCCCAGGAATCTGCATTGTTAAACAGCTGGTCTTGGACCAGACTACTTTTTGGATAACAAACATTTGGGCTTGCAGCATACCAGGAAATGCTGACAAGTGACACGGTTAGGAGGTGTGTCCCTCTGTGAACTTGGTCAAGCCTGATCTCCTCTCAGGTTTTCCTGTAAATTTAGAGTTGAACCAGGTGAACTCTATAGCCCTTTGGGTTTTATGTCTGAGGTAGTTCAGTGAAATCTCCCAGCCTAGTCAGCTTCTCTCTCTGCACAAGGAATACACAAATGTCCGAAAGGGCAAGCCCTGAAGCAGGCTGCCTTACCTTGAATACCTTGAAGGTGAGTGGAAATTTCTCATCTTTTGCCTTTAAATTTTGCGGCATGATGTTGAAGGACATGACGACATTGTTGTCTTCCATACTCTCTGGCACAGAGAAGATGAACTGCGTGTCCCTCAGAAGTTCTTCTGCATGAGAAAGAGCAGTCACTGGAGCTCAGTTCAGCTCCTATGACTCCCAGATGGGGCCATGTTGGTTCAGAAAGCTCTGGTGGGTTGTATTGGACACTCTGGATTTGGAGACTAAGGGGCAGGCCCCAGGCCCCACGACTACTACTTATAGCACAAGCTTCTTTGTTTTGTGAGACTCTGTCTCTTCCTCTTAAAAAGAAGAAGGGGAAGAATATTCCCCACTGGGTGAAAATGTTTCTTAACGTTGAGGGCTATTTTTAATCATAAGTGGAATTTCAGAATCCTCAGGTATGTATGAGCTTACACACTGGCGATAACCATCAGAGCCTGGAAATGATGTCAATCCCCAAGCACCAGGGCAGACAGAGGAAAACAGGCAGAGAGATGGTAATTCATAGCACTCCACTACCCAAGCATGCTCCTCGGAGCCAGGGCAGGAGACAGAAGGAAGGTGAGGACTGTTAGATTCAGATACATGAAAGAATGAAGATAAGTCAAGATAGAGCTGAAATCAATACACATCCACAGGTTCGGGTCACAACTGGGAAGCTCTGAGAGGGGAATGTGGAGACACAGAGGCTTCCTGTGAGGGCTAGACTACATAATGCATTCAAGTGTACTTAGCAGTGCAGGGCAGGTGCTCACGCACTGGCTCCCTTCTCTCTTTCCCTTGCAAAGAATCACTAAGAACAGCCCCAAGGTACCATTTTGGTTAGTTCATTGATATGCACTATATCCAGGGAAGGGGACTTTGGCCCCACAGTCAGACAGATGTGGCTCTGGAAGGTGAATCAGTAAATTTGCTACCCAAGTATGACTCAGGAGTTTCTTAGAGTCCATCCATGACCACCAGAAGTGTGAAGATCCTTGAGGTTGAAAACAGGGGCACCCTGGGGTCATTCAAGCAAATCATTCTCAACAGGCAGGTGCTGGGGAAAGGGAATGCTCATGTCTAGGTGCAAACACACCCACATTCACACTCACACATACGCAAACTTGTTTGTGTAGCTTCTCCTATGGATGATGTGTAAGCACGCTCAGGTTCACGTTCATAGGGAGCTATTTCACTCATCTGTGTCACAAATGGGAAGCAGGAGGTGCAGCGAGAATATGTGACCCTCCCAAGGTCACACTTAAGATTTACCTCAGGGGAGCCCAAAGACAGGTTCAGAGGTGCCCACCTCTGAGATCTCAGTATGCTGTTACAGGATGTACCAACCAGCATGGGACAGGAATATTCTCCCTTATGTCTGGATGGGGCAAAGTGATGGTTTAACCCAGGCCCCGACTTTTGTCCAGTGTTGTTTCCACAGCTCCCCACCACTGAAGAGCGGTCAGCCTGTCTTTCTGGGAGGTGGGTGGAAGTCAGTAGGACAGTGGGAGAGCATGACAGGGCAGGGGAGGCACACTTGAGATTCTCCCACCCAGCCCACCCAGCAACTGTTTCCCTTGGAGAAACACAGCTGTCCCTTTAGGCTGACAGATTCCTCTCCTTTTAAGTTCAGGCTGATGGTCCAGAATCAAAAGCCACTGAGACTTGAAGCCAGGACTGGGCTAGGGCTGGAAGCTTCCATCTGGCAGAATCATTACCAATGTCATCACTACCTGTGGTGTTTCCTGGAACTGCGTGGTTCTTAAACATCATTTGGGACCATCTTTCAGGAGGCATGTTTCCATGGTTTAGACTGACTGGAAATTGGTTACATACGTATAGGCAGGAAAAGTTGTCTTGGAAATCTTGACATGACATCCTGTTATAAACAGATACACATCATTTCACTGGTTTTGTCCCTAGGGTGGGTGTTCCCATCTCCCCACTGTACCTTTGTCAATTCTAGTCTCCATGGACTTACCACTGTCCTACCCCAAGACAAGGGCCTCATTCTGGCTCATTCACTATCAAGTACCTTTCTGTTCCCTCCAGGGGTTGAGAGAATAGGACAGAATAAAATTTCTGGGTTCTGCATGTCTCTCTCATGGCCAGAAGGATGGCTCTTGTCTCTCTCCGCTCTGGGTCCTATACACTGTTAAGAAACAGTGGTTGGTTCCTTTGCCAAATTCATTGCTGAATCAGAATAAAATGGGCTCAATACCTAAAACCCCATCTTGTACTGTGATTACAGTGGAGATATTGGAAATATTTTTCCTTTCTAATTGACATTTGTCTCTCTGCTTCTTAATAACTTAGACCCAGTCTCCTCTTCACACATGTTAAATTTTATTTAAATATGCTATTAAGTAAACCACAAACCTCTCAGGAAAATGTCTGTATTATCCTTTAAGATGTGAACACATGGCAGAGAATGGGTTTTTAAAACTCTAGTCCTGCATAGCTGCTGGGCGAGGATACGGATGTCTCACTCAGAACTCTAGAGTCAGGGCTGGGAGATTAATACTGAACTGCTCTTTTAGAAGACTCTGGAACCCCAGGGTGAGACTGTAGGTCCTAATGGGATGGCGTAGAAGATACAGGCATGATAACCAGGCATGATAACCAGGCATCCTGGTTTTTAGGAAACTGTTGATTTCAAAGGTTTGGTGTCAGTATTCCCTTTTGCCATTCACATTTCCTGGAAGTTCTGATATTTCAGACTGAAATACCTTTCACGCAAAGAGAAAGCACACAAATAATTTCCCATCCAAACCTTTCATGTCTTGGTGGAAAAAACAGTCTCCTTCTACATAGATCTCTACAAAGCTAATCTTTAGTCTCACAAAAGTGTAGGGAAAGGGGGAGGGATTGAGGGTGTGGGCAATAGTTAAAGTTTTAAAATGTAACTTTAAAAAAAAATACCAAAACTCGCCATCGTCCTTATTCTCATACAGCAGTCTTCTCCATTGGTGGTGGGTTTCCTGCCATTCTGGCGACCTGGGCACACAGAGACAGACCACAGGGTGAGATCTCCCAAAGCGTTTCACCTCGGCAAAACATGCCCCAGCAGAAGCCCTGTCCCTCATTCATTCTGGGAGTGCAGGTGGAGGGGGTCATTCTACCTAGTGACAGGATTCGGTCATTCTCTGTAGGCTGGTGGCTCCCAAATTGTCCCCAGCATGATCCTCTTTCCTGAGCGTTAGATGGATACATGCTAGGGGCCATGCCACATCTCCACCAGAGCCCATAGTGGTCTGGAAACCAACTTACCCCAAACCGCACCAGTCCTCTGTCTCCTCCCATTGCTCAAGTGAAAACTCAAGAAGCCACTCCCTCGTGCCCCCTGACATCCAAACAATCACCAGATAGCAATGATGTAGGATTCCACCTCTGAAATCCACTTACTTCCCTCCTTCCTGCTGCCCTCCTAGTTCAGGAAGCCTCATCTCCTTCTTGGACTTCCCATCTCCCTCTCCATTCTGCCATCAAAAAGAATCTTTCTAGAAGAGAAATCAGATTCTGCCATCTCCCTGCTTAAAATACCTTTTCTTCTCAGGATGAAGTTAAAACTCCCACATCAGAACCTTGGCCTCTGCCTACCTCTCCAGCCCTACCTGAGCGGCTCCCTACTTCCCCACACACCCCACACTTGAATTCTACCCTTAGATCACAATTGTCCTCATCTCCTTAGTAATACCTGTCCTGCCCCCACCCTGGCCTTTGCCATGAGGCTCCCTCTACCCAGGAGACTCTTCCTCCTTTCAGTCCTTTAACTCAATGTTATTCCTCTTTCCTCCTAAAAGGTACCTCTGCTGGGAAACCTTGACTGTTCCCCTGTGGTGTCCCCACTTCACCTCCAGAGTCAGTGTCCCTCCTTGGGACACACACAGCACCCTGTACCATTCCTGTCTCAGGACTTAGTGCCCTATGCTTCTAGTGCTTGTGGATTTCTTCCTGTCCCTCACTAGACTCCGAGTTCCAGGAGCTCAATGAGCATGTCTCACCATTACCTGATCACAGGGGCTGGCACAGGCCTTGGCAAATAGGCATGCAGCAGTTCTCTGCTTGCTTAATTTATATAGTTGTCCAGTTCATCAGGATCATGTTTTCCAGAAGCTAGTCCTAGGGTCTGTGAAGGAGGAGGCCCTCACAGGCAGAAGGGAGCGGCTGTCGCTCCCTCAGCCCCCTCCTAGTGGCAGAGACATGCGCATAAGCAACAGGCCCCAGAGGCACAAACATGCAATGAATTTATCTCTAGGAGTGGCTTGTACCGAGGGCCTGGGTCAGCTCTGTGCTGGAAAAGCAAGGCAGGGACCACCACTCAGACTTCGGGCTTTCAGGCCGAGCCAGTCAGATGTGTTATTGTAAAATGGCAATTTTATAATTAAGTGATAATTTCATTTTCTGCAGTGTGTAAGGAAAAATAAATGTAGTGTAAATCAATATGCTATCGATTCACGCAAGTTTGCCTTTAAGTGTGTGCGTCTGAAATTTCAATTATGGCGGAGATTGGACCATCCGGCTCCATCTATCCATTTTCACTCCTTAAAAAGTAGGGGGGAAATCGACCACCTGCATGGAGACTTGGCCCCGTTTCTGGTGGGAGATGGTGAGCCTAAACGCAGCCGGTGTGTGATCCTTCAGAGTTAGTGTGGCCAGGTGTGCTCCTGTTCCCTGCTCTGTACACGACTCCCCTGTCGAAGGGCCTTCACAAATCCTACGCCCGTAGGGTGTAAATCCAAATTTATGAGGTGACACTGGGCTCTCTGGCCCCAGCCCCCAGCATTTCTTTTCCAGGTTCTGCTGCTGCAGGCTAGTTTGCTCGCCCCAAAGAACACACTGTAAGTGATCCCAGCTCAGCACAAGGTCTATACGTCCCCCCAACTTCCTGGTGACCTCTTCCCAGGTGAGTCATGCTTTTTTTTTTTTTCTGCTTGAGTTCAAGTTCGACTCTGTGAAGCTTGCTCTGAACATACCAACCCAAGGGAAGCTTCTCTTCCCTAATCTCTGGTGCCCCTTGCTGCCTTCACTGCTCATGAGATATTTAGCATAGGGGATGTGGGCAAATTATCAACTCAGTTAAATCTGTTGCCTCTTCTCCTATGCAAGGCACATGTGTCATTGACGTGTGCCCTTCCTTCACTCCAACCCCAACAGCCAACCTGGAATCAGGGATTCTGCCAGTCACAACACCCCTGGGCCATATTGGCAACTTGGGGTAATGACTGAGAAGAACTGGCAAAGGCCAGAGGTTAAGCTTTACCCTGGGGGAGGAGGGAGGCTACCCCAGGGAAAGAGGAATGAATAAAGGCAAGATAAAAGGAGAAAGGGGAACAGAGAGTAAAAACAAAACGCTCTCCGGTGGTTCCTGCTGTTGCAAGTTCATCCCCCTTCTGCTGAGGGGATTCAGCAGCCCTGTTCTCCAGGGGGCATCTGAGACCCACCAGGTTCCTTCTATGAATCCATGTTGCTTATTCCCTCCCTTCCGCCTGCCCCCCCCACCCCAATGGACATTGATCTTATGTTTGCCAAGTGCCCACGTGAGCTGGCACACGCCAGCTGTTGGGGCTCAAAGAGGATCAGAGTGGTCCTTGCCACAGACCAGCCTGTGGCGTCATGCCAGGTTCTGGGCAGTCAATAAGCAGGACAGGGACACTGGCCAACTCTGTGTTTGCCTTCCAGAATGGAAGGCAATTCAGTAAAAACACTGTATTGGTTTTTACTGCTCGTTGGGTCCTGTTCACCTGTTTGTCTGAATGCTTTGCATTTCCCTTCAAGTCTTCCTCTCTTTCCCACCACCTCCCCTCCCCTCGCCCCTTGCTGGCTGCCGGGGAAGCAGGTAACCTGTCACTGAGTGACCTATCACTGGCCATCTCATTCTTAATCGGCAAGGGGGTGGGGACCAGGGATCAGTCTTCTTGGCAGCTGAGAAATGCTAGCCTCGCTCCAGGGAACCACTGGCCACAGAGCTAGTCCCCACTGGCCAGCCAGGTCAAGAGAGTAGCTGCCTGCAACATAGCCAACGGGCATCTGACACTTACCTCCATTCACTTCTATGAGCAAGATTGAGTCCAGACATCAAGTGGGAGTCCAGATCAGTAGGGAGGATGGACAACCCAGGTGGCCAGATCTTTGGTTCAGCTCCCCAACTGCCCCCCAAAATGAAGTCTTTTCCTCATGGTGTCATCAGGATCAGAATCGCATGGGATCCCTTTATGGGATGAGGCTCCTCCTCTCCATCTCTCTCTGCCGATAGAACTTGGCTTCTTTCCTACTCCCTCCCCAACCCTCAAAAAAAAAAACCAAACAAACAAACAAACCCTCATTCTGGGTATGTGGGTTCGTGGCGCTGGACTGTAACCTTCTGGGGGATAGATACTGGGTCTTGTCGTCTGTACATATCCCACAGTACACAGTGCACTTAGTGCAGAGAGCACACACTCGGTGTCTAATAGATGCCTGGTGAATGGCATCATGGGAATATGAGTTGGGCCCACAGCCGCACACCGGTGTGAACCGGACAGGCCTGCAGTGAGATCCACAACAGGGAAGACAGAGGCCACCCTCTGGGGGCGGGGTGTTCTCTGCATCCCAGGTCTTCAGGAAGGGTAGAGACAGGGTTTCAGAAGCCATACCCGTCTGCCCAGCGCCCTCTCCATTCCGTGTTGCCCCAGGGGTTCCACAGGCGGATAAGATCCTCCCAGCTCCCCCGGTACTGAATCTGCAAAGAACAGAAAAAGAAACTCTCAGGGCTCTCCAGCAAAAGTCAGCAGAAAGAGGGGATATGAATGCAGCTGCTTTTTACCTCCAAGGACTAATTTAACTTCTGACCTCATTTGGCTGCAGCCAGAAAAAAAAAAAATTGAAAGGAAAAAAAAAAAATCAATGTGTCTCTGCTGCCTGCGTGAGGTGGGAATGAGGGAGGAGGAAACGGCCCCTCTCTCTGCTCAGCACCTCAAAGGGTGGGCACAGCTTCATCATCCCATATCGGTGCCTCCTGGAATGTGGGCTGAGACGTCAGAGCAGATCAACAGCGTGTGGTGCTACAGAGGGGACAACCTGATGGGTCCCCAGCCTCCTGCAAGTCCTGTCCCCACCGGTCTCTCCATTCGACAGACAAGGCTGTTTCTCTGCCTGCGGCCCACAGGCAGCTGTGCCGGGGTCTCCATGGTGTGGTCCTGAGCGACAATGTGGAGGCGGCAGACCGAGCAGGAGCGGGATGGCCTGGGGGGCAGGAGAGCCCCTCATAGCTCTTCTCAACCTGCACCCTGGCACTGCCCCAGGCCCCCATCACCCGGCCTCTGCCGGCACCTCGATGGGCTGAACTTCTCTTCCTTCCCCAGGCACCTCATGGTCACCAGCTCCCAGATACGGAGGCCAGCACACGTGCTTCTTCGGGCCACAGAGGCCAGAGGGCAGGATCGTTGACAAGTTACAACGGAACAGTCGCAACCCTTTGAACCTACATTCCCAGATCCAGAAGCCTTTGGCCTGGTGGGGGGAATTAAAGCATGGTGCTGTTGTAGGCATGACACTGATCTGTGCTAAGGTCGTCTGTGGAGGCCAAGGCCTGCAGGGGTGAGAGAAGGGCCTCACTTGCTCAGTGGTTCCAGGTCAGAGGCGGCGGACAAAGCCAGAGTGCAGGGTCACCATATGGAAAAGAAAGCCGCGTGTGAAGCCGGGCTGGGAGCCAGGTGCCGGCTGAGAGCATTACATCCTTCACCCTTCACCCCCACCCCCCGCGGTGGATGTTTATAGAACCCTCGTCTTGCACAGGAAGAAACGGAACACCAGAGAAGTTAAGCAACTTTCCCCAGGCCACAGAGTAAGTGGCAGAAGAATTCTCACTCCAGCCACTGTCAGTCTCCTAAGCCCAGGCTCCTGATTTGGAGATGGGAACAGATAACGGCTTCAGCAATCCAGGGCCAGCTCACTCTCTGGTGGGGCCACAACTCTGACCTCTCATCTCACCCCTGGGTCACCTGGCCATGGCCCATGTCATCACCAACAGGGCAGTGCCATGAAGGAGCAACGCAGTGAGACAAGGGCCAAAGAACTTGGCTTGGAGAAGGTTCTTTTCCATCCACTTCTATCTGGCTGGCGCCGTAGGGGAAGGTGCTTTGGCTTTTAATGCCACATGGGAGAGGAGAGGCTCCTGGCACATGCTCAGGTTTCCCACCCCTCTCTGTCCCACCCCTAGGCACTCCAGGCTTTGCACACACAGTCGATTTATTAACTGGCAGTGCCTGATGGAGCAAGGGCATGAAAAATGGTTGCCCGGTGGCCCAGAAAGCTTAATGAGCCACCCTCAGTGCCTAACATAGTCGGGGCTCAGTTGGGCACAGGGGAGACGAACGGCCAGTGAGTGGAAGGAGCCATAAGCAGGGCTAAATGAGGCATGCAGATAAACACTCACCCCCTTGCCCAGGGGAGGCAGCGCAGAGCTAGGTGCGTAATAAAATATGCCAATCTCATTTATCTTCCTGTGTCCCGCCCAGAGGAGGATGAGCAGATTAAAAAACATACTGCATTTATGGGCTGGTTTAGTCTTAGCACTCGTGGTCAGTTGTCACCTCCTCTTTCTGGAGGAGAAATCTTTAACCAAGTCAAGTTCCTGGGCCTTGGCAGGGAGGCTCGGGAGTCACACTCAAGGCCAAGGTCACGACTACCTCTGAGAATGAGCCCTTGTTTCACTCTCCTGGCTACTTACTATACCCCTGGCCCTGGTCAGTTCCCTCAGAAAGGGTATCCCTGGGTGAGAGGTGACCCGCGTTATCTAGTGTAGGATAATATTGCCTCATGTGTATTCTATTAAATGCTAGTTCTGCAAGCTGTTAATAATTCTTCTGAGAAGTGGTTTCATGATTAATGGTAGATTAAGACCAAGCTGTCCCTCTATTGTCAGTACTGGCCTTCTTAGAGCCTTTAACATGCTAATATCCACTGTGAATCTCCAAGAAGGGGAGTATTTGGAAAACTGCTTTCACAGAGGATCTCACCAGGCTGGACTCCTTACAGCACATGCTAGGAGGTGTTAGCAGACCCTGAGTGGCAGGAGGGGTGGGAGGGGCAGGGGGGATGGACCATCCAGGACAAACAGTTTGATGGCCAACACTAAAGGGGAGGTGTCCTGTTTAGACCACTCACTGTGTTATAAGAACAACTCCTAGTGTGTGCTGTGGGAGAGCGAACATTCAGGCTATGAACAGAACCATCAGGAGCCCAAACCCTGATTCCCGTATTCACCTGTATGGGCTTAGCCCTAGGTGTTCACATGGTCACTCTATAACCTGGCAGTCACTTTTATCCCATGCCCAGCTCTGCGGGGACACACATTCCACAGCCATCTGGACCTCTTAATTCACAAGTCCCTTCTCCCCCGTGTTCAGAGGAGAAACAAAGACTGTCTCCATGTATAAATGGCCTTTTCCAGGAGTGGCAGAGACAGCACGCAGGTACCATGGCTCCTTCATTCCATGCCCAGCACCGATATCATTCTTCAATCACAGCTTTTCCACTAAATCTGGAAGCAGTGCCACAGTCTTGTTCACACATAATCCAAGCAGCACTGCCAATGGATCCAGGTTGGCACACGAGAAAACCGATTTGCTACCCGTAGCCTAGACTTTCCACACCTGGGACAGGGAGTCGTGGGAAGCAGAGTGTCTGTATGGCCTGGAGTGACGATGGTACTGGCCGTCCCATCTGAGAATTCTGAGACGGCTTTGGGAGAATTCAGGGGAGGAGAGTCTGGGGCTGCTGCGTCTAGGATCTCTTCTGGCCAGGGTTAATCAGGACAACCTCATCTTTGTTTGTGGGAAGAAATGTATTTTGAGCTCCTTGTATACATTCTATGATGGAGGCGGAGGTTCAGTGACATCATCTTCACAGGCCAAAGACAGATGCATTCATTCAGTCATGCAAGTGTACTCATCCATTAATCCAATGAGCATTTATTAGGTACCTACTGTCTCCCAGGTGCTGTGCAGAAGAAGCATTTTGTGATGGATCTCCTTAAGAAGAGTGTAAGGCAGAAGATACTATCTTTGTTTTGTGGAACACTTGCCAAAACACAAAACGATGCATCAACTGACCTTAGGTCCCTGGACAGGAGGTGGACGGATACAGGGAGAAGGAAGGCAAATGTAAGAAAGCATGCCAGAAATAGAACCCGACACCATACGTTTTATGGCTCATAAATACCTGTGAAAAATGTACCCTGGAGCTTGGAACACTGTCTCTCAGGGCCCAGAGGACATCATCAGACCCCATGAGTTGCGGGAAATAGAGAAGACTGGGGAACATGTGTGGGAAATCACTGTGTGTGGGAAACCACACAGCTGTGTGATAAGCACAGAAGAACTGAGGAGACATGGTGTCTAGGCCCACCCATTTCAAGTAGCTGTGTTAACCCTGACCTTCCCCTCGCAGGCCTCAGCTTCTCAATTATGGATGGAGGAGGCTGGACTTTAGCAGTGTTTTCCAGACCAAATGATACTGCACACAGTAATCACATATACTTTCGTCCACCTAAAGTCAGTTTCTGCATCAATGGGAAGAACTTTCCTCCTCCTCTGCCTCCCCCTTTTCCATGGGAATAAAGTCTAGCTGGGCATATGGTGGCCTAGCTAGAGAGTATGTTTCCCAGACTCCCTTGGGCCTCAGTGTGGCACTTGGTTGATTTCAGACTAATGGGATCTGAGAGGAAATGGGGTGTGTGTGTGTGTGTGTGTGTGTGTGTGTGTGTGTGTGTGTTCTGTGATGCGTGCTTCTCTATGGATGTATAACTGTCCCCTGGTCTCTTCCCTGGCTGGGAGAGGAGGGACTTGGAGCAGCTGCCCTGGGCTCACGGGTAGAGGCCCCATGTTGCAGATGACAGAGCCACCTGTCAGCTCTGGGTTTGCCCGCTTACCTCAGAGAGAAATGAACCTTGTTTGAGCCCCTGTATTTTGGAGTGTCTTTGTGGTAGCAGTTTAGTCGACACATAACAAATAAAACCCTTTCAGAGCAAAACTTGCCCCAGGCAATCGGGTGGCTCATTCTATTTTCTTTTGGGGCTAATCCCACAGTCTAGCTAGACACTCAGCCTGCCTGAGATCAGGTCAAGAATGGCAAGATCGCTAGTAGGCATCTGGGGATAAAGATGCTGGGCACCAGAGTTTCTGGATGAATAGAAGGAATATTCGAGGCCGTCCACATTGAGCTTGCTGAAGGCATGTGATGCTGACCCCTGCTTAGAGGAGCAAGAAAACAGGGCTCAACCCCCGGAAGCCTTACCCGCTCGGCTCCGGTCACTGTGTAGGCATGCTGACTCACCAGGCCATTTTCCATTCTCCTGGCCTCACCTGTTGGCTTTAAAGGACGAAAGCAGACCAAGCATTAAGCATTCACAGGCTCTTCAGAAAAATAGAAAAGCACAATTCAATCAGCAGCTAAGCTGTGGTGGGATGAAAAGCATCCCACTGACTCACACTGGAACGGCATATGTTCTTGGAACTCTTTTCTAGAGAGGCAGAGTTTGAAGGCTGCTGGGTGGTTGAGGCCCCAAGCATTTCGTACCTCAGGGGACTGCCCCATTACTGACAGAACCCCACTGAGTCCCGAGGCTGACCTGGACTGTGTGCTCCTCCAGTCACTGGTCACCAATGACGCACAGCACAAAACACGTCGGTGGGGCATTCTGGGGGAGTCGGGAATACCCACCACCCCCGTGCCATGAGTAACTAACTGGGGTGCAAAATGCATATTAGTTTTCAGGTGGCATTTCAGATTGGGGGTTGTGACTCAAAGCTCACGTGTTTACAGGGTGAAGGAAACATCCTCACGGATAGGGGGCTGGCTGTCTCAGAATAGACTCCGAAATAATTTGGAGGATCACCCAAGCTTTTCAAAATGGGACACACTGACCTTGGGATGCTGTCTTTGGAGCCGGTGAGAATCAAAGAGTGGCCCAGTCACTCCAGACCCCACTGCTCACATGAAAGCACTAGGTAAAGGCTTTGGAGTCAGGCAGCAGCATCTGAACCCTGATCAGCCACTTGCTGGCTGTGTGATGGTGAGTGTTTTACTTGGCTTCTCTGAGCCCATTTTCCTCTTCTGTAAGTGAATTCTGCAACCCCTCTCCCAGAGGGAGGGCTGCTGTGAGGATTCAATCAGGCGGCTTCAGTGAAGGATGGTCTCCATGCTCTGTGACGTCTGCTTGGCCATGCCCCGGACTACCTGAATGGGTTGGTGGCTGGACATTCCTGGGCAAGGAAGGGCTCCACCCAGTGTCGGGAGTCTACTCACCGAGGCCGGGGTGCCGCAGGTCACCAGGGAGCCTGCCTTGGCTGCTGTCTTCAGCATCATCACCAGGTCAGAAGGAAAGGAGTGCAGGTTGATGCTGGTGACCACCCCTCCTGTGAGGTCCACCAGGGCATCAGGAAGGAAGCCGTAGTGCAGGTTGAGATAGGACCCACGAAACCTGGGAGGGGGAAAGTCACAACCGCCCCTGTGGCGACTTTGATGAGATGTGCCAGGCAGGGAGGTTGCCCACCTGACATCCGCATATTGCCCAGAGAAGGAATGCCTGATCTGCACCTGCACTAGGGCCACCTGCCTTCCATTCACTACGATGGCGTTTCCAGCAAAGCGCCACTGTCCTTCCCCTGCTCAGCTGGGGCTGGGCGGCCTCACAAACAGCAGTATTGTGCAGAGGTCAGAAGTGCAGGTGCTGGAGCCACAGGGCAGGGGCTGAATCCCAACCTCTCCTTATATTTAACCGCTTAACCTTGGACAAGTTATTTAACCTGGCACGTGGCAAGCCCTCAATAAACACTGGATATGCTGGTGACGAATGTCCACTGTTTCCTGTTCAGTTTAATGACAGTGGTAAGTACTCATGTGAGGGATACTGTGCTAGGCACAGGCTGTTCAAAGATGGGCAACCCCCTGTCCCTGCCCTCCAAGAGCTCAGCCAATGACCCTGATGCCTGCTGTGGCCACATGCAGCCTCTGTTCTCATGTAGTGTGAAGCATGGTCCAGAATTCCTACTCTCAGGACTAACCCACTCATCCCAGGATCATCAGGGATGTTAGTCAACTTGACTGAAGGTAACACAGGTGAGGACAAGTCCTACACAACATGACTTCAAAGCAAGCCACCTGGAACCCTCGTACATGTTCTGTAAAGCACTTCTTCCCACTCTTGTGTGGGGTTTCTGCCCCTGCCTAGGGTTATCACCTCATTTCACTTCCTCCCCATTATCCCCCAAACCTGAGTAGCCCCAGTCACTCACTAGAGAGGCCGACAGATTCCAAATTCAAGAGCCAAACCACTCGGGTTCAACTCCTGGTTTCCCCTCTGATGAGCTCTCAATCCTGGGCAGGAAGCTGAGACTTTCTAAGGCTCCCCTTACTCAGTTGGGGAGTGGGCATGTAACAGTCCCTGCCTCGATGGGCTGCTGTGCCCCTTCTGCCAGTTCTTGCATGGATGACATGCAGAAAGTATCTGGCTTGCAGAGTGCATGCTTGTTACATCACTATCAGGCACAGCAAGGCCACCCTTGCTCAGCAAGGCCACCCTCACTCTGCTTCTACCTCCACAACTGTTACTTCTTTGCAACAGCCCTCTGCCATGGGGACATTTTCCTTAGAATGTCTACTTTCTGCCCTTGGGGTTCCGTTTGCTATGAGAGTGAGTGGATCATCTTGGAACAGAGAAGAAATGCCTGAGGGCCCAGGGAGAGCTCGGGGAGGAGCACACCTCTGAGTTTATCCAGGTAAGGACAGTGGGATGGGCATTCCAGGGAGGAAGAATCCCCGAGCCAAAAAAGCATGGTGGAAGGGAGCCAGCGATGGTGCTCCTGGAAGAGAGGCTAGATGGACCACTGAAGCAGGCCAGACAAGGGCAGAATTGTTTTGAGAACTCAAGTTCCTGTCAATGGGGTCAACCAAAAAGGCTCCCAGGGAACCCTAAAATATAGGCAATGCAAACCCACAAAGGACATGGAGCTGAGGCCAGGCAGGGAGTGGGGAGAAGACCCTGCCTTCTGGTCTCAGAGCTGCCCAGTGGGAGACTTCCTCACCACTGCCCCTGTCACTCAGCCTTCTCACCAGAGACCTTCTCTTCTGTCCCTGGAGGGATAAGCCAAGGCCAAGACCCTCACAAGCTGGTGGCAATGTGGGGAATCTCTGACCATGGCTTTCTTTCTTGTCCTGTGAATCAGGGAAGGGGTCTGGGTCTGAGATCTTCCCTGCTGCCCCTCCAGGGGGCCTTCAGCCTTCCCTTCCTGGTCCTTCACTTGGAAACAGTAAGGTTGACTGGGTAGGCTTGTGGGGTCCTCCAGACCCTCTTATCTCACTATATCTCCACCTCTGCCACTGGGCGTCACTCAGAATTCACATAAGTTCGCTTCAGCAAATACATGTCAAGTAGCCAGTCAAAACAGGACAACGTCCCAGGCACAAATGCCACGGAGGGCTTAAAAGAGTCTTTTTATAAAAGAAAGCTCTGGATACACAGAAGGGCCCTTCTACAGAAACTGCCATGTGACAGATTGATCTCAACTTGTTAAAACTGGTTCTTAATCTTATCTTCCTATCTCCCTAGACTCTTATCTCTGGGGTATTTACTTAGTCAAATTCAAAGTCTTATTCAATGACCTTATTCAATTCAAAGTCAAATTCAATGACCATTATCAAAGGGTCATGCCTAGTTGGGGCTGAATGCCTGACTCTTGATTCCCCACATGTATTCTGGCTCTGGGTCCTAGATTAGGAGGGGCTTTGCTGAAGGTACTGGAAGTTCACAAAGATTGGGGTTCTGGAGCCCATTCTAGAACCCACCAGTGTGACCTCCCACACTGCAACAGCCCCATCTAGATGCCCTCAAGAGCCCTCTCTGGCTTTAAACAGGGCTGCATCAGAGCCATTCCAGAAAAGCAGCCCAGGCCCTGTCCTGATACATTGGCCCACTGCTTTGGTGTCTATGGGCCTCCTCTGATACCTTATGCTTACAACAACCTACAGTTGCCACAGAGATACTCAATGCATGGGGAGGCCAGCCGCCCCTCTCTCACTGTCTCTCCACAATGTCCACAAAGCCTGTCTCAGCAGAAGCTGGGTATTTTGACAAGGAGTTATCTCTCTGCTTCACAAACATGAGCTCACGAAGACTGCTGATGCTTCAGAAACATGGCAACTATTCTTAGCCCCCTTTGCTGACAGGAAACAGAAAGGGAAGAGAGATAGAACTGTGTTCACCACACCTGTCATTACACCTTGTCACCTGAGCCCAGGAATTCTGAGAGCGTCTTGTTCTCGTCTCTGTGCTTCAGCTTCATTTGGGGGAAATGTCTATCTGCCCAGCAATGCTAGGAAAGAGGGATGAATTTAGACATCTAAATCAGAACCAGAAAGGATGCTGAGATGCTGTGACTCTTAATTGCCAAGATTCCATACAGGATGATATGCAGCCTATCAGATCTTGTCCCGCAATCTCCTATTTTATGATTTCTGGGGACAAAACCTTGCCAACATAGATCTGACTCAACCGATTCGTTTCCAGACTCCCCAGTTGCAAGGAGAGTTGAAAGTTTAGAATGCATGTGTTCACTGGCCTACATTCTTGGCGGGGGAGGGAAGGAGGGTCATCTCCATCTGGACGAATGCGTTCTCCATGTTTGTGCTGTGGTAATTGTGTGCCAGACACTGAGTCCCAAAGAAGCAAAGAGACAAATCTTTTTCCTATAGAACTGACAGCCTCAAGGGATGATGGAAAAGCACACAACAAGGGGAACACTTGACCTTGGGCTGCTCATTTCAGTGTTCTGAGCCTCAGTTTCCTCATCTTTCAAAGAAGGAGGTAGGGCTCGAGACTGACAGAGGTCCCCTCCAGCTCGGATAGCTCAAATTCTATTGTGTTCACTCCTGCATTCTATGATTTCCTTCTTTGGTTGGAGGGGAAAGCTTTTAAACAGCTTACTAGTTTGAAACATTTTATCCTCACTAGATTTCTTTAGGCAGTAGAATGTGGATTCTGGGTCCACTTTCCCATTTTCTTTTCAAGCTGAATGATTGCTTTAGGTTGACTGTTAACAAAATGGGGTCAAAGTCATCATTTCATTCCACAAGGTTTCTAATTCTCCAAGTGAACTGGCATGCTCCCCTTTTCACATAAGGGAAAAGCAAAGCCCTGAAGTGGGGAGGGCTGAATCCACAGTGGAAAGAAATGGCAGTGTTTGCGTAAGTCACTTAGAAGCAAATTAACCTCTCCCAACATATGGATTGGTTCAACAACCTTGGCTATTATCTCGGATTCATTCTCAAATGCTAATGAACAGCTTTTCTTGACACTGGAAATGAGCAACAGCTTTAGTTTTTCACAAGTAGTCTTGACAAAAAGAATGCAAAAAACAAAAAAAAACAAAAAAAAAAAAACAAAAAAAAAAAACCTCTTGAGATGCATGGCTGTTCAAATTGTAACCTCCAGAAGGGTAGAGACTGGGGTGGTCTGTGGGGTTGTTGGCATCCTCATGGCATAGGACTGAACTCAGCAGGGTCTTCAGTCTTCCTAACTGATGTGCCTGGGTCAAATAACTGAAAACCCCAGCAGATTCCATCTAGTGACTACCATCACATCACTATTTGGAATTTTGGCTTCCCAATCTGTAAAACGTGGTGGGTCATGGTGATCTTCGGGGAACCTGATTCTATGACACTCCAGTAATTCATTTGCTCCTGAAAGTGATGGTCCTTTTGTCCCCTAGCATTGATTTCTAGCTCTGATGTGTCCCTCACCTATGTAGGTCTCTATGACAGTGACATCTTCCACACAACATACAGTTTTGCTCACACCTATTGAAGCCAGTCTCAGAGCCTTTATCCTAGTTCCAAGCACAGTGCCTGGCCTATGATTAAATGCCTAATAAACATTGTCTGAATAGATGCAACTCAAAGAGGCTAAATAAAATGTATGAATTGGGGTGTTTATAAGTCATTGAGCTTGTTAACACTAGAAGGTAGTCTTTGAATCATGGTTCTTGGACCATATAATAAACAGCAATTCCTGTCCTGTCCTCCCACACAGATACAATCTCATAGTGGCCATTCCAGGCCCCCAACTGCCCCACCTCATTTTGAACTGTCCTGCCCCTTGGTCTTTGCTTAAATCCTTCCAATAGTTGGGAATAACTTCCAACATATCCCCTTTCTCCTTGCTGAAATTCTACCCATCCTTCAAGGCCTCACGCAATGCCATGTCCTCTATAAAGTCTAAGCCTGACTCTATGAGTCAGAAAGTCAAGATTGTTTTCTTTCTCTGTCCTCTGATCAGACTTTGACCTGATATTATATTGTATTTGGGCTCTTATCCCAGCCCTTGAAATAATAGTGTTGTTAGTACATATCTCTGTCCAGCCTTGCCCTGCCCACTCCTTGTTATGTGCCTCTGGGTTCCTCCCGTGGCTCCAACAGAGCCTTATGTACAGTGATTGTTTATGAAGCATGCCCAGCTAGGTGGCAAAGGCTCTGATGCTCCCAGGGAATCATGTGCATTCAGCAGAGCTGCCAAAAGTCCTGGGGCCAGCTGCTGTGGAGCATCCATCAGGACAAGCAGCTGGGCAGGTAAGGCCAGCATCGAGGCCCTGTGCTGAGGGGTGGGCCATCCTTACTTGGCATAAGCTTTCTCCAGCAGGCAGGGCCAAAACTCTTGGTTGTTGTTGCGAGGATGCACAAAGAGATATTCCCTGTTGAGGATAGGCAGGCGATCATCAACCACCACTTCAACCCACTGGCCACACTGCCAAAACTAGAAGAGAGATGAATATATGCCTTAGTAGAGCTGCGGCAGAAGGGAGCTCCAGGACCCCTGACCCATGCCAAACAATAACCACTGTCACCACACAACCTCCCCAGTATAACAACAAACTCTATCCAGAACAAAATCCCAGCCGAGGTCAGTGGACAGGGGCCTGGCATGTCGACTTCACTGAACGGATGAGTCACAGGCCAAGTGAGTCAAAGAAAATACATGCTGAGAGGAAAGAGACTTGGGTTTTTGTTTGACTTTGCTACTAACTCTGGCCTCACTTTGGCGGGTCCTTTATGAGCTTCAGACACACAGGAGACTCTCCAAGTATATCTTGGGCACAATAGGGCAACACAGGGAACAGTTGCTGAATAACAAGGAGAATGGTAGATACAGAGTATTGTAACGGGGGACAGGAGAGCCTACCAGGGGCTAAAGGCTTGAGGGAGGCGGCAGGATTTAAGCAGGTGGCAAGGAGGTAGGAAAGGCATCCCAGATGGCAAGGACAGTGTGGGCAAAGGCCCAGAGGCCAAATGATGAAGATTGCTCTGGAGGACTGAGCAGTGAGAGCCTCGCTCTGGCCTTCCTCAGCTCATGTGAAGATGTCCTGCCATCAGAGTAGCAGAAATCAAACTGGCTAGCACTGCTACTGCTAAGAGCACAAATGAACCAGATGTTTCTCTCCAAAACAGACTGCTTTAATCTTCAGTGTTCAACTCTTAATGGTTCACCCGGGGACATGACCAAATGAGGAAAATTCATAACAAAGCCAGCCTTTTGGAGTTTCTTGGCTGGTCTCCCCTGTGCTGGATAAGCAGCAGAGCTTCCAGCTTCAGGCTTGAGTCTTGATGAAGGCAAGCCTATGACAGGTGGGCTCAGAGTAAAGCTGGGTGGATGTGATCTATCATCTGCTTGGCAGTGACGGGAAGCCATCCACATGGCTTTTTCCACATCTGGGTGTCCCAGATGTTGGGCTGTTTCATCCAGCTAAGGACGTACTTCACAGTAGAGGAGACTGAGACAGAGATGTCAGTGGAGACAAAGCAAAGAAGATGTTTTCACGGTCATTAGTGAACTCAGTGCACTGAAGCTGGTTCCGGCACAGCTGTGGATTTGTGTCCCTACTGCAGTAAAATGTGTAGACAGGTGAGGTTAAAAGCCAACAGGGGTGTTACTAGGAGGAAGGTCATGAAATATGTTTGGCACACCAAGGAAAGCTAGAAGTGGGATACTGGAAAAAGAGCCTGATCTGGATTTGGGGTTTAACTGGATAGCAAATGTAGTAGACAGTGGCCAGTTAGTGGAACTGTGCTTGAATACTGGTTTTACCTTTAGTTACCTGAGCAATAGACGTTGGGTAAGACACTGAATTCTCTGGGTATCAGTTTCCTTATCTGTCAAGTGGTGGTAAAGTATGAACTTCCTCATAGGGCTGTGATTGGGATCTGATGATATTGTGAAAGTAAGATCAGTTTTGAAAGTAGTAACTATTTTTCAATAGTTTCTTTCAGGACCTTGGATAGTGCCTGGTGCAGCGTAGACTGGAATGAGTCCTGGCTTGAATGAGCTCCTCTGGTTGGTTCTCCCTTAGAATTCACCTTCACCCCAATAGTCCCACATGAGTAATGCTGACCAAACTTGCTCTCCTTATACAAAGGGAACACCAGATAAGATCATTGTTCCCAGAAAGGATGCAAATGGTCAAGAATGAGGTCACTGCATTTCCTGGTTCACCTCTACTTGAGGAGGGCTGGCATCTGAATAGTGTCTGGACCCTCTGAGAAGCATGCTGGTGCCATTTTGCCAACACCCAGGTGTCAGAGGGAAGACAGAAATATTTTGAGCAAAGTAGCCATGTTGCCTGGGCACTGGGCTCTTTCCAGAAAGCAGTGCCAAGTTCAGAGTGATAAGAAGAGAGGCACAGAAATCAATACCTCAGCTGTTTCTGGAGAATTGTGGAACTTTCTCACCATTCAGAAGGGCAAAGAGTGTCCTGCTTGTGCCTCAGTTTCTCCTAACTACCTGTTACTACCAACACTGGCAGTCTAAGGTGAGCTCAGACAGTAAACCTTGCATCTTCTAGCTCACTCCTTAGTCAGATCCTTGGACCACCAGGATGAGCATCACCTGGGAACTTGTTAGAAGACCTAGTATGCAATTAGTTGGACTTTAGGAAGAGAATACAAAGTAAAGGAGGACACCCAGAAAAAAATGAAGGGAAATTTAGCTGAGCAGAAAAAGGAGTAAAGTCTTCAGAATGAAAGGGCTCAATGAATTCCAGCCAAGATTAGTTTCAAAAAGGCACACATCTGGGCATACTTCAGAGAAATTTCTGAACACCAAGGAGAGAGAGAAAGTACCTCTTATAAAACTTGAAAGAACATGTTGCATACAAAGCCAAAAGCATAGATTGACATTGGATTTTTCTTCTGCAACATTGGAAGCTGTAAGACAAAGAAATAATGTTTACAGACTCTTGAGGAAAGGGAATGTGATCCAAGAATCTCAAACCCAACTGACATGTCATTCTTAAGCAAGGGCAAGTGAAAATACTCATGTGATCAGAGGAAATTATTCAAGGAACTACTACCTAATGAGGATGAAATTAGAACAAGGGGAAATAAGATAAGGGGAAATGAAGGGTGAAAGAAACAATGGTGAGCAAGGAGTTTAAAATATACTTTTATAAAAGTATATTTATAGAAATATGGAAGTGAAATTGATAAGGAACAGATGAACAAAGAGAACAGAAAAATGTAAATAACAGGAAGCTGAATTAGCAATATGAGCATCAGATAGAGAAGAATTCAAAGCCCAACACATTAAACACAATAAAGAGTGATATTGTGTGAGCTTTATTCCAACAAGCAGATAGCAAGAACATAAAACTTTGGGCACCATAGAATAAAACAGGAAAAGGTTAAAGCTAAAACATCTGAAAACATAAGAAGGACGCTCCAAGGTATAACTTTGGGGAAGAAATTCAATTCACCTCTTTTAGAATTTGACAAATCAAGCAGACAAAAGTTAAGTCAAGATAAAAAAAGTTAACTGCAGACACAACAATCTGCAAATCAGAAATCTTGACTCCATATGTAAAACCTCTGATCACTGGATATTCTTCTCATATGTCCATGAAGCATTTGCAAAAATTGTTGTAGATTTGGCCATGAATAAAATTTTAATAATTTCCCCAAATGTAGAGATTTTATGAATATTCTCTGATCATAGTTTAATAAATAGAATATAAACTGTAACCAAAGCTTAATCAAAACTAAAAGTACATTGCATTAAAGTTAATAAAAGACATTTTATATCAAAACCTATAAATAGATAATATCTCATATAAAAATTTATGGTTTTAAAAGTTTTCATTATTAAACAAAAAAGACAGAAAAGTGTACAGTTTCAGAAAACAAACAAAAAACAATAAAATTAACAGAAAGTAAACAGTACTTAATAAAAATAAATTGAAATTAGTTATATAGAAAACAAAACTCCAAAAGAAAAACAGAATAATGAAAATCAAAGGTTGATTTGTTCAAAAACCAATAAACAGATTGCTTTGGTTAAGAAAACCTGTATTATGAAGAAAAGGAAAAACAAAAACATAGCACAAGGATTGATAAAGTGGATTTACCCATAGATTAGAAGAAATTAAGTGAATTTTCAGACAATCACATAAGCAAATTTTGGGCAATAAATTTGGTCTGAGAGAAGTAATAGTTGGTTTTCCTGGCAAAAAAAATTTCAAGATTAACCCCAGAAGAAATAAGAGACACAAACATTTTAATAGCTGTTGAACACATTGGAAGAGTAAAAGAAATCATGTTGAAAAAGGAAGTGGTTCCAGATCTTTTAACTATTGTCTATTTTACTTTCAAAGATCAGATAATCCATGATTAACAACCATTGTTCAAATTATTTCAGATCAAGGTATGCAAAGCTCAGTGGGTTCATTTTAAAAAGCCTACATAACTCAAACATGGTAAAAACAACAACTAAAAACCAATTCTACATGTGATATAGATGCAAAAATTCTAATAACATTTTTAGCAAATTGAATCCCACAGTGCATTAAAACAATGGCACACCAGGAGAAAACATCACTAAAACCAGGAAAAGGCAGGACTTTATTCTTGTCACTCTTATTCAAAATTGCAAACTTCTAGGGGCGCCTGGGTGGCGCAGTCGGTTAAGCGTCCGACTTCAGCCAGGTCACGATCTCCCGGTCCGTGAGTTCGAGCCCCGCGTCGGGCTCTGGGCTGATGGCTCAGAGCCTGGAGCCTGTTTCTGATTCTGTGTCTCCCTCTCTCTCTGCCCCTCCCCCGTTCATACTCTGTCTCTCTCTGTCCCAAAAAAATAAATAAACGTTAAAAAAAAAAAATTTAAAAACAAAATTGCAAACTTCTAACTAATGGGACAAGGACAAAGGGCAAAGTAAGTTCTATAAATAATAAAAGTAGTGACAAAATTATCTTTATTTGCAGAGAATATTCATTAACTAAAAAATCCAGACTCTACTAAAGAAAAAAAAAAATTGGAACTAATTAAGGAATTTGGTAAGGTGGCTAGATACAATTTAGTATTTAGTAAGGAGTGGCTTTCCTCTTACCAGCAACATCTAGATAGAAATGAGGGGGGTGCCTGGGTGGCTTAGTCTATTGAGTGGGCTGACTGGCTTAGGTCATGATCTCACGGTTCAGGAGTTCGAGCCCCACATTGGGCTCTGTGCTGACAGCTCAGAGCCTGGAGCCTGCTTCAGATTCTGTGTCTCTCTCTTTCTCTCTGTCCCTCCCCTGTTCACACTCTGTCTCTGTCTCTCTCAAAAATGAATAAACATTAAAAAAAATGAAATGACGGGGAAATCTCATTCACATTGGCTGCAAAATTGTAAAATATTTGAGAATACGTTTAACAAGAAGGGTGTGACACCAATGTGGAAGCATAGCTATAACATTTTATTGAAGGGCATAAAACTAGTTCTGAATGAATAGAAAGATATACCATGTTTCTGGAAAGGAATAATTAAAATAATAAAAGTGTAATGTTTCCAAATAAATACATACATTTAATGCTACTCCACTCTGCATCACAGAGTGCCTTTTCTTTTTAATTAGACACAATGATTTTAAAATTCTCATCAAAGAATAAAAGCGCAGGAATTACCAAGGTATTTTTGAGGGAAGAACGAATAAGGAAGGAAAACTTACTCTGCCAGATGTTGCAACTTACTCTACAGCTACTGTAATCAAAATAGCAAGATACAGCACAGGAATCAACACAGACAAAAGCTCTATGATGTGCAGGGTTCTTGATTAATGACTTCTTTTTTTTTTTTTTGCTAAGTGTTTCTGCTATTTCTTTTTATTTGTTTACATGAAAACGTTTTAACTCCCAGCTCTCCCATGTGCTGCCAGACCTTTAGCTCAAATCCTTTCTTAGAGGTACACAAAGTAACTAACACACGGGTGAGCCTTCCATTGCAGGCTAGCAGACCATGAGAATAGTCAAGATACTCGCCTGCCTGTGCTCACAGAGAACCTAGGTGAGAAGTGTCCCAGTGGTGCACATACCCGGAAACGGAAGATCCCTGCGTAGTGGCATGAAAAGCTTTGGTCCATCAGGATATTCTGCAGGTGCTGTGGGTTTTGTGTCAAGGAGCCCAGTGCTGCCAGGAACCAGCAATCTCCTGTGAGGGGACGGAAGCCATGAGAGGTCTACTGAACACATCTGGAAGCCCCACTCCACACATTTCGTGGGTCTTTGTCACCAGAATCCATACACCGTCTTCTGAATAATACATTCCTTTTCTGCCTGAGAGAGGAGAACTGGGGAAGGGTTCACTGGGGCCAGTTCCAAGCAAGACAGAGAAGGAGCTGGTGATGATGTGGGGTAGGGGTGATGGGAGTTGGGGTGGCTATGAGGAAGGTAAAAAGGGATGGGGGGGGATGGTGATGGTGAGGGAAGTCAAGAGAGCCCCATCCAGGAGTGCCTGGGTAGCTTACTCGGTTAAGTGACTGACTCTTGATTTCAGCTAAAGTCATGATCTCAGGGTTCATGGGTTCGAGCCCCACCTCAAGCTCTGCATGGACAGTGCAGGAGCCTGCTTGGGATTCTCTGTCTCCCGCTGTCTGCCCCTCTCCTGCTTACATGTGCACTCTCTCAAAATAAATAAATAAACTTAAAAAAAAACTAAAAGTGAGCCCTAGCCAGGCCTCAGCAGGGTTGTTGGGACAACCTGCCTCTGATTCGCATCTTGCCAGAGCTGCCCAGAGCTGAAGTTACAGGAAATCTTGTTGCCAGTGTGAACAGTCCATCCACACAGCACCAAGGGTGCCGACCTTGCCTCCACAGAAGCTGGGGTAGAAATCTGTGGGTCTGGGTGGGCACCTCCTTCTGTCCCTCCCTACCTGGAGGCTGACTTCAGGCTGTCTGCCCTGATCCAGGGCCAGGAGGAAAGACGTTGAGTCCTTACCGGCCTCTCCTTGTTGGATGTCAAATCTGCTTGCACCTTCCAGGATGAAGTGAGGTTCTGATTTACCCTCTAATATATCCTTAGGCAAAAGGGAGAAAAGCCATGAGCATCTTTCATTCCTCTGTGTCCCCAAGTGGTACCCAAGACATCACTCACTTTGTCTTTGAGGGGTAGAGGTTAATTCTTAAACAGGTGCTTAAAATCCGAGTTAGAAAAGTTCCCCTCATTCTTCAGGTTTGATTGCTATCAGGAAGGCAGATGTCAAAGGGGCATATACATAACTGACAAGACAGGCAATAAATGTACAAGCAAAATGCAGGAAAAGATAAACAAAAATAAAGGCTCAGGATCCTTACATCAAATAGTCAGCCATCCTAGTCCCAACTAGCTGTGTTGTAGTAACAGGTTATAAACAAACAAACAAAAAGATACATTTGTTAGAGGACCCTTTTATAAACATAATAAAGCATTCACTGTGACATGTCCTCTCTCAGCAGTAGGGCATTCTGGGCTCCAGGTTCGAGTCCAGCCACGCGCTCTACCGGATGCAAGATGTGTTACTCCGACCTTTGTCCACTCCTGGGCTAACTCACAAACTGATTCTAGAAGACCCCAGGTCCCTTGTCTTGGGTACTGTTACTTGGAGCCCAGTCGTGCCCCAACCTCTAACACACAGAGCGCGTGGCAGCCACAGAAAGGGGTTTGCGAGAGGATTCTGTAGTGCTGCAATATCTAGGGAGAATTTGGGGAACTCCCAGCAGACACAAGGATTGTGAGAGTTCCGGAAGGGGCTCCCATGGGTCAAGGAGCCCCAGGGAGCCCCCAGGTTTTCCCTACTGGAAGTCTGCAGGATTACCCTCAGCACCCTCTCTGTGCAACTGTCCCCAGATTTCTACTGCATTTGCATACTTCGGTCATTGTTCCTGTATCATTTCTTTTCACATTGACGAATAAGTCCTCCCAGAGAACAGGCCTGCAAAGTGGAAGTGGATTTATTTGCTCAACAGCCATGAATGTACAGAGTCCTGTGCTTTGAGAGACCTGTCGGCCCTTCAGAAACTGCCAGTTTCCTGGTGGAGATGCCAAGAGGCAAACAAAGGCGTGCAGGTCTGCAAACACCTCAGCCCGGTTTGTGTGGGAGGGGTAATTGCCTCACTAAACCTGTTCCCACTACCTTCTCTACAAATAACTGGCCGTCTCACATTCACCAGCAGAGGTGCACTCAGGCTCAGACCCTCCCTGGGTAGAGGCACCAAGCTGGCCTGCCCTTTCCCCACATCTGGGCTCCAAGCTGGGCAGCTAAGTACCCGTATCTGGGGGGATGCAGGGACCTCCCCCAACACAAGCCAGCAGCACAGAACTCTTTGCAGGGCCATGGAGGGAGTGAGTGTCCCGGTTCCAGGACAACTCCAGGCACTTCACCCAGCTGTCCCCAGCCCTTCTACTGTGGAAAGGAGGTATAGATCTCACTAGCATTTGCTGTCACTGAGCAGATGCTTAAGATCTTCCACTCACAGGAATTAAAGAGAAAGGAGGCCAGTGGGCTTGGATGGGGAACAAAGATAGCTTTGCTCAATTTTCCTGACCTGCCCGAAGCCCCAGCTCTCCTCTGCTGTTTGCTCTGGTTTTCCCTGCAGTGTGACTACAGAAGGGGGGTGGGCGTGCTGAAAGTCATGGAGACAGACCCAGGGTGGAACCCTGCCCTGCCTTCTCCCTGGGTGACCTTGAACCACTTCCTTATCTGAGCCTCAGTTTCCTCATGTGTGAAAGGGAGACTCCGGTGGCAAAGCCATTGAGGCACTGACTACCTTGCTGAGGTCCAGGGGCTTTATTCACCCATCGTCTTCCACTAGCCTTGCTAAGCAGGAGTTTTTCCACCTAACAGATGAGGAAGGATGTGGATCCTTGGGACATTGGACAAGGTACATGTTCAATAAATATTGATTCCCTTCTGTAATATTTGCAAAATTCAAAAGGCCATACTCACAGACAAACCCAGAGCCTCAAATGCATTCATTATTAAACATGATAGAAAAAAAAACATGAATTAAACAATCAACTCATAGATGTTAGAAAGACAAAAAGAGCCTCAAATAGAGGCAGAAAAAAATGATAAAAGACAATTAGTGAATTCTAAAATAGAAAAACATCAAGACCAATAAAGCAAGTAACTCGCTCCATTTGGGGAAGAAGGTTTACAGAGACCCAACCTTTAACAAATATGGTAGGGAAACCCAACTAAAATTAGAAATAAAAATGAGATTTTAGCAATATAAAAACATGACGTAAAATTCTATACTAATCAATTTAAAAATAGTGATGATTATCCGACTAAAATTAGCATGGCCAAAAATGATTCAAGTTAGTCAGTAAACTTTAAAAGATAACTTTGCAATAGTATTTTCAAATGATCAAAGAATATCTCCCTGACAGCTCTGTGAAGGCTTTCAAGTACACAGGATTTCCTGTGGAGTTCTCTCACACTTTCAGGGAATAGACCATTCTTGTATCACTTACAGTTTCAGCGAAAAGAAAGAAAGGGAAGGAAGGGAAGGAAGAAAAATCCTGCCACCATTTATTTTAAGAAGCCAGCATAGCCTGGGACAGTGAAAGCACAAGAACATACACACATTATAGACTGATTTCACTTATGAAATATACCAAAATAAAACACATGGCAAATGAATGAACAAGAAATTATTAAGACTAACCCACTATAATCAAGCAGGGTTTGCCCTAGAAATGAAGGACGCTGATTTTGTATCAGGATATATAATAATATAAAATAGCATTTACATGCACCAAAGGAAAAACAATTTATATCCTTCTAATGAATGCCACACAGGCATTTAATAAATGCACAACTTTCTCTGATTTACCAAAATGTTAAAAATTAAAATAAAAAAATGTAGTTAATTAGGAACAGAAAACTATTTTCATGCTATGAAAATTAAATGGCAATTATTGCAAATCAATATTCAACATAAAGTTTACTGGCAAACACTGGAATTGTCTTCATCAATGTTGGGCACAAGACCAGCATCTATATCTCCTATCCTCTGAGCTGCCCATTCCTTCCCCACCCTGGGCTTTAGAGAGGTGCTCGATGATCTAAAAAGTGCAGAGGTAGGAAGAGATGGAAATTACACCCAGAAGCATTTTAGCCTGCTGGGCTGATTTACTGAGAGAATAGGTAAAGATGAATGGATAAAGAAGATGTGATACACACACACACACACACACACACACACACACACACACACACAGTGGAATATTACTCGGCAATAAAAAAGAATGAAACCTTGCCATTTGCAATGACATCAACGAAGCTAGAGTATATTATGCTAAGCAAAATAAGTCAGAGAAAGAAAATACCATATGATTTCACTCATATGTGGAATTTAAAAAGCAAAACAAATGATCATAGGGAAAAAAAGAGAGGCAAACCAAGAAACAGAGGATTAAGGCGTGCACTTGTGATGAGCGCCGGGTGTTGTAGGGAAGTGTTCAATCACTAAATTGTACACCTGAAGCTAATATTATGCTGTGCCAACTAACTGGAATTTAAATTAAAACTTAAAAAGAAAAAAGATGACTGGGAAGATGGCAATGTCCGCGGGCGTCATCAGGTGGGATGGGCACACCTGGACAGTGAAGTGTGACAAGACTGGCAAGTAGTAGTCTACACCCTGAGTGTGACTCAGAATCACCTGAGACCTTCGCTGCCCTGGAGGCTGCTGGCTGCTGCCTCTCACAGCCTGGATTTAGTAGGTTAACTGGAGGTAGTGTTCAGCATTTACACAGTCCAGAAGATTCTGAAGCCCTGCCAGGGAAAGGGGGCAGGTTCAGGGAAGCTGAGCAATTTGATTACAGATCTGCAGGGAGAGGGCTGTGAACCAGGCAATGTGGCTCCATAGTGCTCAGATCTCTCCCCCGCCCCCAGACCACGCATGTAGATAGGGGCTTCTTGATGTCCGTGTTCTCTGATTCTGCAAGAGGGGCCCTCTGGAGGGTCTGAAACATCATTTGTACAGAAGAAAGGTGTGATGGTTAATTTTATAACTTGACTGTGTCAAGGGGTCCCCAGATATTTAGCTAAACATTAGTTCTAAGTATGTCTGTGTTTCCAGATGAGATTAACATTTATTTGAATTGAGTTCAATAAAGCAGATTTCTGATCCCTGTGTGAATAAGCACCATCCAATCCACTGAGGACCTGAATAAAACAAAAGGTAGAGGGAGAATTTGCTCTTTCTCTGCCTGATTGATATGGGTAATATCCTATAGGATATATAGATATATAATAGATACACATACACACACACACACACACACACCCTATTGTTTCTGTTTTTTTGGAGAACCCTAATATAGAAGCCATCAGCAATAGTCATACTAAGTAATCTTCCCAACTTCTGCACTGTGAAGTCCTTTCTCAAGGCAAATTTTGGGACAATCTATGTTATCTTATGGATGCCAGAAGCACATATAATGCAAGAACCCCTAGAATCTTAACAAATACCCTCTGTGAAGTGGTACCAAACCAGGCATTCTCCTGCAATTGCTTCTGGAGGGGTGTCTTCCAATGCAACATCACTTGCTATGTTTTGGAGTGATTCCTGCAATCATTTTGAAGGCTGCTGTTAGATGAGGGAGCATCAGGGTCAGCATCTTGGCATTCAGACACAGCCTAAATATATCATTCAGAGGGTGGGCAGAGGTCAGCCTGGGCCAGGTGACAGAGTCACTCCCTTTACTATTTTTGCTAGAGAGCTTTGTTTTATTGGCATCAAAGTTCTTTGGCTCGATGGCATTTGTTTGCTGGCAGGTTTACCTTGTCACCTTCTGTTACCTGTTGCCTTCATAACCTACACTTCTGTGTCTACTTTGTTAACACTTTCCTTTTCTGAAGAACTCATTTGGGACCTAAGGTAAATCACTTCTAGTGAACAATCCTTTCAGAAACTCCACTCCACTTAAAAGATCAAAGTTGTTACCTGGGTAGGTGATACTTCATTTTGGGATGGCCACAGGCCAGGATCCACAACGGGGCTGGGTCCTGAGCTCTGAGCACCCATCAGACAGCATGTTTCAGGCCCACAGCCATTCTTCAGTTGAGAAGCAAAATTATTCTCCCAAAGTATGGGGTCCAAGATGAAATTGCCATCTCTCAATCTGATACACATTGGTGACCCTGCTGTGAAGAATTGTATCTATATTTCTGTGCTGTCCAATATGGTAGCCACAAATCATATGTGGCTACTTTAAATGAGATTAAGGGGTCCCTGGGTTGCTCAGTTGGTTAAGTGTCCAACTCTTGGTTTCAGCTTGGGTCATGATCTTGTGGTTCGTGGGTTCGAGCCCCGCGTCATGCTCTGTGTTCACAGCACGGAGCCTGCTTGGGATTCTCTCTCTCCCTCTCTCTCTTCCCTTCCCCTGCTCGCTGATGCTCTCTCTCTCTCTCTCTCTCTCTCAAAATAAATAAATAAACTTTCAAAAACTTAAAAAATAAATAAATAAATAAGATTAAAATTTTGATCCCTCAGTTGCATTGGCCACATTGGAAGTACCAATAGCCACTTATGACTAATGGCTGTTGTACTGAACGGTACCAAAAGAACCTTTCTATCATCATGGAAAGTTCTCCTGGACAATGCTCATCTACTGAACAAAGATAATAATATGATCTACTCACAGGGCTATTACGGTAATTAAATGAAATGTCATATGTAAAGTGCTTAGATTCATACTTATTGCATGTACATACTTGATAAATGGGATTTAGCATTATTTATGGAATTAAAATTCTAAAAGGAAGCACTCTAGCACCAACTTTCATTCAGGAAATATCAAATAGATACACCATATACAAGTCTAATTCTCAGCATTGTCTCTTGCTGACATGGGGTGGGGGTTGTAGGCAGTGCAGAGGCTCATGAGGAGTTGGGTCTCCTCAGTGCCATTTGGTCAGTGCAGGGTCACAGGCTGTTGCAGAACCTGACTGACTGCCACTGGGGGGGGGGATGTGAGAAGTGGGGTGGAAATTTCTTAAACAAAGAGAAGCTGAATGAAGCAAGATATGAAGGAGCTTCTACTTCAAAGTTCCAGCAGCAAAATGGATTAGGTTGATTGTTAGAGGGAGAGCAAGAAGGAAGGAGGGAAGGAGAGAGAGGAATGGGGGAGGGGGGGAGAGGGGGAGGAGGGAGGGAGAGAGGGAGAGAGAAGACATTATGGGACATTAAACAACCTTTCTGTGCCAGGCATAGAAAGCTGAGTTTAGTTGTATGCCAACTCTTAGTCACTCTTAGTGAATCTACCAAGCCCAGGTGAGTATTCAAGGTAGAATGATATCCATGATGGTTTAGCACTTGCTTAGAATATGGAGCTTCCCCATTGTCCTTCCAAGCCTTGAATATGGAGATGGCCTCAGGAGACTTGGTGCCACCTCAGCCATTATACAGGTGAACTTAATTTAAGGAGTGCCAGCCATACCTCTGGACAGTGACTGGGCAAGCTCTAGAGTGGGAGGCAACCCTCTGAAAGTGGTGACAGGCAGCGGAACGTGAGAAGAAATTCTCTCCACACTCCCTGTCAGCCTCCCCCTAGGACCTCAAATGGTTTCATCTGACCTACATTTCTCTCTAAATGTGTTTGCTGAAATTAGCTGAGGGCTGATGCTGGCTGGACTGTGAAAACCCATGGATCCAAAAGGACAGCCCCTGAGGCTGCTACCCAATGCCATCCCTCCCAAACTAATTATAGCAACAATAGCTAGTGTTTAGTAAGTGTTTGCAATGTGCTAGACTCTAAATATTGTCTTCATTTATTCCTTAAAATAATCATGTGACGTACAGGTACAACATTTCATTCTTACCTCATTCTTTTTCTCCTAAAAAATGGAAAGCAGGACACAACACAGAGATTGATTCCTGGTTACCTAGATGAACTAGGAGTCTATTGGTGCACAAAATATTATTTGTAGCAAATAGGAAATCAGAACACAACATGAGCTTACAATGAGGCCTTATGGAGACAATATAGTGTGATAGGAGTACAGGTCTTGGAGATAGACTCTAGGGTTCAAATTCCAGCTCTACCATTTTGGGCATGTTACTTAACTCTTTCTATTTCTCCTCTGTAAAGTGGGGTTAATAATAGTACCTCCTTATAACATTACTGTGAGGATTCAATGAGTCAAAGGACCTAAAGTTGGACCTACCATATGGTCAGCACTATGTAAGTGTTGGCCATTCCAACTAGGATTGAACTACACTGGCCATGGCTCCTCGCCCAAGGCTCTTCTCAGGCACAACTATAAGCTGTGGCACTTGAGGATGTCACCATGTGGAAGGGGTGAATTCAGTGGCTTTCTTGTCTACCATTCTACCTGTTAAACCAGTCAACCTACGGAATCTCAGCTGCACATATGGAGCTTGAAACCCATGTCAGGGGCCTGTAGATAAAGTCATTCCTTCATCCATTCACTCACTCGTTCATTCAAATCCTAACAGAGTCCTGTCGGGCACACAATCCCATGTGAAGGAAAGTGCAGCATATGGAGGCTGGACTGTCACCTTGTGCAAGTCACATCCCCTGTCTGAATCTGTTTTCTTCTCTATACAACTGGGAAAGAACAAAGGAGACAAAGTAGAACAGGACACATGGAAAACTCAGGAAAACACTATACAAATGTGGACACTGTGATGAGGGACACAAAGACATTTGTCTCAGCTTTTGGCTGAGGAGAAGAGTGGGAGTAGGATGTATCTTCCTCTATTTCAGGTTCCTGGAAGGATTCTGTGGAAGTCATCTCACTTCTGTTTGCCTCAGTTTCTCCTTGCCCCCAAAAGATAAAATTTGAGATGTTGCTGAAATCAGATAGTAAGAAACTCTGAACCCTTCCTAAATAGAAATGTTATAAATTCTCCAACACTATAAATATGGTCTTGTATCTATTGCTCAGCACCTTGTAAAAAAGAAAAAAAAGAACATTTCTAAAAGAATCTCAGCTTCTAAAAATAACAAGGGGAAAAAATATATAACCCTTCCAAACTTTAAATAGAGTTCTCCGTTCTGCTCCCCTTCGGAGGGGAAGGCCAGAAGAGGATAATTTCTGGGGACTTACTGCCTCTGGCTGGTGAGATGGATCCTAGAAGCCTGAAGCACCACCATCTGATCCTGAGCCCCACCTGCGCCCTGCTCACACTTCCCTCTCCAAAACTACAAATCTGCCCCCTTGACATCAGAGCAAGAGTCGGTACCTCCAGAGTTTAATGTCTTATTTTATGTTATCAGAAAATATCCTTTTTGTATAGACTAAACTGGCTTTATTGAAAGTACTCAGGAGAGTGTTTGGCACTTAATCAGTGCTTGGTAACACTTGCTGATATCATAATCATTAGCTTACTAGACATTATCTTATTTTCTCTTGTTCTAGGTTCTGCTGGTTGCTTTTGGAAGCAAGAACAGGAGGATTGGCCTCAGGATCCTTAGAGTGGTCCTTACCTGGATCTTTTTCCCTAATGAGATTATGAGAATGGTCAGTGGGCTGAGAAATATTTCTTGGGAACGAATATAGTTTAGAAAAACCAACAGGGCTCATCTCGCCACAAGGTTGAGTTAGTGACCAACTACTGGCATAGGGATTTGAATGTTTCCCTGAAAGATCTTCCTAATTTGATGTCTAAAATTCTTTTATAAATGATCAAGCCTTTACAAGACTGACAATACATATATAAATGAGAGGGGTGAGGCAATTATTTAAATTCATCCTATTTTATCAGTGACTGACATGATATCTTCCCTTTGACTAAATTCTAACAGGGGAAAAGAAAAAAATACAGACAGTGGTAACTGAAGAGAATAAAGACTGATGAAGACTGACAGATGGGTTCAATTGTGGAGATGGAAGAGACCCTAGAGACCAACTACCACAATCTTCATACCCATGGTTTCCCATTTCTCAGATGAGAACACTGAAGCATGCAATCTAGTGATGTGCTCAGCGTGAGAACTGGGTTAGAACCCAGGGGTCCTGATTGCTGGTACAGGGTCCTTACATCCTACTGACGATACAACACTATAGCTAAGGGACCAGATAAATTTCATTCTCCTTCCTATTTGGTTTGGGCCACCCTTGAAAACCAAGTCACGTGCCCATCCTTCTTTCAGTAGGAGGTACCATGACAGGCAGTTGAGAGGGCCCAGGAGCTGGGTGTGTTTCTGGGGGGCTCACTCACCTTTGGCCGTCTCCACATCAGTCTGGAGAGGTTTTTTCCCTGGAGCAGCTGCAGACCTATGGAGGAAGTCTCCGCAGGGAAGGTCTCATCCTCAAACAGCAGACCTCTGCTTAGGCAATGATCCCGCAAGAAGTTGAAGTCTTGGCCCTTGAATTTGATGACAGGGGTCTTGGCTAGAGTCTCCTGGTTGTGTGCCATGACTCTCCTTAGAAGATGCCTAAGGCCTTTTCCTTCTGGTAAGAAAGAGAGATATTTTTAGGAATAAGCTGTCAAGTCCTTTGCATCATTAGATGTAAGCCTTGGAAAGGCACTCAGATGTCCTCCCACTACTTTACAAGTGAGGGGACTGAGACCCCGAAATGTTCTGTCCCCAGTGACACATCTAGTTGGTGGGTGATCCCAGACTAGAATCCAAGCATCCTCTTCCCAGTCCAATTTTCAATCCGCTCTACCAAAGAACTACTCAGTATGCTCTTATGTGCATGAGAGACTATGGGGGGTGTTTATACATTAATGAACATTTATTGAGTGCTGACCTGGTGCCAGGCACTTTTCTGCATGCTGGCAATCCAAAGATAAATACGACATGATCTTTATCCCTTAGGGGCTCATTATCAAGTAGGAAAGACAGATAAGACATTTAAACAGCTAGCTATCATTCAACAGAAAGTGTCTAATTAAAAATGTGTACAAAATCCTGTGGATATAAAGAGGAGGGGCCATGAGCTCCCAGGAAAAGTCTAGGATGACTCTCCCACAGACAGTGACATTTGAGCAGGGCCTTAAAGGAAGCAGAATGTGCCAGATGGAGAACTGGTTATATATATATACACACACACATGCACGTATATATACACACACGTATATATACATACACACACACACACACACACACATATATATATATATATATATATATATATATATACACACACACACAAGTTATTATCTATATAATTTAGAGTATCAAGTGCACAGAGGCCCAGGAGTTGAATTGGAAAAGTCATGGGTGTTAGAGAGAATGGAGGGGTGGGCAGTCTGGAAGGGTCAGTGGGGGTAGGAGCTGGGGATAGGGAATGTTGGCAGAGAGGGCCAGGAAAGTAGGTTGGAAAGCTGGATTGTGACATGTTTTATGTCCTCTGCAAGCACTGCAGGGACACTGAAAAGGTAGGTAGGTCACAATCAGATCTGTGTAAAGGATTGTGGAGTGAGTTAAAGGCCACATGGAGGGGATGGATAAGGACTGTGGCAAGGAGGAGGTTAGGAGGCTGTGCACGTGTTCGTGGGAGGGACAATGTTAGAGCATTAGTAGTGAAAATGATGGAGAAACAGACCCCAGAGTCATTCTATAGGTAGAACCAATAGGATTTCATGATGAATCAAATACGGGGTTAGGGGAAGGGGATGTGTAGTGAGAAAAAGAAAAGGCAAAGTGGTGAACAATCAAATGAGCTTTAAAGTTTGCTTTCTGCTTTCATCACCTACCTACCAGTTCCAGAATTTTGAGTTAGTATTTAAGCCTGCAAACCTCTTTCTCCATCTGTACAGATAAATGATACCAACCTCATAGGGTTTGCTGTGGTATCAAATGAGGTTCAAACTAACATACCAAGCAGAGTGGCTGGCATACATAGGCACACAATAAATGTTGACCTCCCAATTTCCTTAAGGATATGTCAAGGAAATCTAGCATTTCTTATTCAGGAAGCCATAGGGGTATGACTGATGCCAATGACCAAAATGTGTATCACATCCTCCATCTGTGAGGGAAGCGGAGTTGCATCTGAATTCTGAATGCACACTTACTGGCTATGGGACTTGAAAAGTCTCCTTAGCCACTGACGTAGTGCTTTTCAAACTTCTTTGGGCAGGACACAGAAGACCCAAGACGACAAGACCTATGGACCTATCCATTCCTCCTTAACAGCAGAAAAGGAATCAAGTGATGATAAAGAACTAAAGAGGGAAATAAATGAACAATTCATGAAGAATATGAGCTTACATTCAAGATCTTGGATCATACAAAAAAAAAAACCCACACAAACTCAAAATAACTTAGCAATGTTCTTATAGTTAACATATAATAATAATATGTTGTAAATTATTTAGATAATACAAATTCAGAGGCAGAATATCATCTATAACGTGTCACTCTACATGCATATGCAGAGGGAATTATGCATACAAATATCTAGCAAATGAGGTAAAAATAATTTATGTTTGAACTACTAGGTTGGACAATAGGAAACTTGCATTTTTTTAGGTCAAAATTGTTCAGGGGTCCTGGGTGGTTCAGTCGGTTAAGTGTCCAACACTTGATCTCAGCTCAGGTCATGATCTCAAGGTTTGTGAGTTCATGAATTCAAGCCCCAGCCCCACATCGGGCTGTGTGCTGACAGTGTGGTGCTTGCTTGGGATTCTGTCTCTCCCTCTCTGACCCTCCCCCTGCTCTCATGCATGCACACATACTCTCTCTCACTCAAAATAAATAAACTTTTAAAAAGTTGTTAAATATAGTCCATTTCATATGGTTTCACCTTAGGTAAAAATGTTTTATATGGTTTAGCCCAATATGTTACATACATTTCTCCAATCAAGTTCTTGGAAAATAACAGGTGAAAATACATCTATATACCTCACCACTCACTATAGGGTTAAGAGGAGAGCAACCACAGATTATATAAAAAGCTGAAATAACAGTAAGGTATCAGTCAAGAACAAGAAAACAGTAATAGAGATTGATTGCCAATTCAGGACAAAGGCAATGACACCTGATAATGGAGAGTTGTGAAAATTATGGGTCTTTCAGTTCTGCACATGCTCAGTGACAGTGGAACCAAGACACCATTGCCAAGCCACGTACCTGTCAGTAAAATATTCAATGAGAGTGTATGATAAACTCCAGTATTGAGCTGATTTTAGTTTAGGAAACCCAAATGGTTGCTCTTAATAACACAATTATGGGACAGCCTTTAATTGCATGTAAAAGTGAGTTGGAAGAATTTGGCTTGACCTCTCCATCAGAGTCTTGCCAAGGCCTTATGTTTAGGGAGCAGTTCCCAGGCCATCTGTAGGGTCCCCACCACTCACTATTGCATGGTGGACTGGTTGACTTTAGGGATCCCTGTGTAAGCATCACTTTCCTCATTTGTGAAATGATGACAATAATGTGCCTGTTACAGAATTGTTTTAAGACTCAGATGAATCTGGGCTTGTCAAGTACTTAGCACTGTGGCTGGTAAACAGAAAGTGGTCAATAAATAGTGGTTATTAGCATGATTATGATGATAATTTTGATTATGAAAGTACTGTGCAGAGAGCCCCACACCTTCAGAGATGAGAACTTGCTCTTATTAATGACATCTAATCTCAGAGGAGCTTGTAGGGGTGAGGCATCACACACAAGGGCTTAGCTTTGCTACTTCTCTGCACCCACTGAGAGCCCAAGAAGGAAAAGAAAGACTCTGGGGGACAGGCGGCAGGCCTGGCTGTCTGCTGGTGGAGGAGGTGGTCCGCTGCTCTGGGAGAGAAGAGAACTTTGATGGGAAAAAGAGAAAGCAGGCAGGCAGGAGAGAGAGGCTCCCTCCTCCATGCACAGACCTCAGACCTATCAGGTTCACTGTGTTACCCCCTGGGTTACTTATGGCTTTTCCAGGGAACAGCCTGCTCTCATTTTCTCAAGCAGGAAGGGTCTACAGAACTTGACATTTCACTTTTGTGTGCAGCAGAAAAAGCCAACCAACTCTCTCTCCTACCTGTCATTTTAGGGAGGGATTTTTTGGCTTATTTCTTTTATTTTTCCATCTTGCTTCACTGTGAAAGGTAAATAAAGGCAGAACACTCAGCTGGCTTAATTAAAAAAAAAGAGAGAGGGAGGGATAGAAGTTCTACCTGCTAGTCAGGATAAAACTTTGTCTTACCTCTGGTTTATCTCTTGAGTCTAGCAAGAAAAATGGCACAGGAGGTGGGAAAATGGCAAAAAGAGTTTATATAAGGTTCTTAATGAGAGAGATGGTGAACTAATGGATTAAGTTCAGAACTAGAGTGAGAAGCAGGCAAGAGATGCAGTTGGTGGCTATAAAACCTGGTCTGCTCCCCTCAGTGTCTATGAAGTAAGTTTCACTCAGTCCCTGTTGTGTCTTCTGCTGAATTGGGTTACTGTGTTAGTCTGTCGAGCATGCAACAAAATCCTGCAGAGTGGGAGCTTAAGCAATAGACATTTATTTCCTCACAATTGTGGAGGCTGAAAGTCTAAGACCACGATGCCAACACAGTCAGGTTCTGGTGAGGACTCTCTTTCTGCCTTATAGACAACCACCTTTTTGATGTGTCCTCACATGACAGAGAGAGAGTGTGCGCTCTCCCTCTTGTCTTATAAGGCCACAGTCCTATTGGAGTAGGGCCTTCTGCTTATGACTTCACTTAACCTTAATCATCTCCTTAAAGGTTCTATCTCTAGAAATAGTCACAGTGGGGGTTAGGGCTTCAATATATGAATTTGGGGGGAACACAATTCAGTCCATAGCTGTGACTAACCCCAGGCTGTCTTAACAACTCTCTGCCCCTGGGAGCACATTTTAGGCAGTGTGCAAGCAAAGAGGAAAGGGGGCATATCAGAGAATAGGTGAAGGATGCCAGTAAACACAAGTGAAAATGACCCAACAGCACCGAGTGTATAAACATTATTCAATTTCGTGGAAAGACAATAAGGGCTCCTGAATGGCAAAAATGTCTTAGATGATAGTATCTTTGGTCTGCCAGCACCTAGTGCCAGGTCTGGCACATAGTGGGTATTCTATAAAATTCTTGTAAGTGTTGGTGGAATGAATGCCACATATTAGCTATTTTTAAGTGTGTTTGGTGGAGCAGAAGCCTCCACAGAGAACAGATTCGGAGGTCATATGGTTTGGAAAATATTTCAAGTCCAGTAGTCCTCATGGAGATTCACAAAAGCTTCTTCAAAGAACTGTTCAATAAAAAACAACAATGACAAAAACACTTATTTAAGCTTGCCTTCAGGATTTTATACATACATAACCAGCAAGTCTTTTTAAAAAAAAAGTTTTTACATTTATTCATTTTTGAGAGACAAAGCACAAGTGGGGGAGGGGCAGAGAGAGAGGGAGACACAGAATCCGAAGCAGGCTCCAGGCTTTGAGCTGTCAGCACAGAGCCCGACGCAGGACTTGAACTCACAA